ATATATATGGGATCTGTGGTAGATAGGGGACCTTTACCGCAGGACCGAAAAACTCCGAGTGTGCCCGTCTGCGGGAAAGTCATCTGCCGGAAAGCCTGGGGTACCTGTATGCCAGGGAGTCATCTGCCGGAGAGCCTGGGATGCCTGTATGCCGTATGATTATTTCCGAGTAAGACGTGGTGGTGGCTTGTCGGGAGGCATGCATCGCAGTTGAGTGGCCCGACGTCGCCCAGAGGAGATGCCTCCTTCAGAGTTGGGTCAAGTCGAGTAGAGTAGAGTCGGTTCCAAAATGGTGACCCGGGTGTGCAATCTCCTTGTGGTCTCGATGGACGTTGCCCTTGCTCGTGCGACGATTCTTCACTCGATGGCACTCTGTGACTTGAGCTGAAATGTGTCCGAAAATGGAAGTCGTTTTCCGTTCGGGGTTCGCAACTTTGAGGGGGGTTGGTCAGGATCCGAAAAAAAGATAAGTCCTGGCTCGTGGATGAGGCTGATACAGGGAGGTCGCAAGGGCGTGCTCATGGCTGTGGGGAAACGGGGGATCCCGCATCTGGAGGAAAAGAGGTGAAGCAGGAAGGTATATATATAGATAGAGAGGAAGAAGTAGAATCTGGAAAGAGAGGAAGTAAGGAGGGTTTAAGTACTTGTCGCTGTCCCAGCACGAACAGGTGACGAGGTGACCCGATGGCCAAGTAAAGAGGTAGTCGTGGTGAGCTTCATCTGCATATCCATCTGCATCTGCGCGCTCTGAGCCGCCGTGGCATGTATTGATTGGTATCTATCCTCCATCAACAGGTTCAAAAGTCGGGGCAAGGGCCAATCAGTAAAAAAGCTCAGCAAAGCTCCATCGTTGTCCTTCTGGCCATGCGTTTGCTTCCCCCTTATGATCCAATTAAGATACCGCAACGGATGTGATGTGGCCGGCGACAGAGGCTCTGGTTGTGAGCAAGATGGATGAAACGAAATGACGATATGACGGGAACCATCTTGACCCCAATCGGCATCCACACTGGAGCGATCACTCGGCACTTGTGTCGATCGTGACAGCGCCGCTCAGTGTAAATCACCAACAGGATTTGACCCACCATCAGAGCCTCGCCAGGCAGCATCCGTCGACAAGGCGTCATGTTCTCAATCAGTCCACCTACCTCCTCACCGCCTCTCACTTCCACAATCTTCTCCATCTTACTGTGCTCTAGCTCTCTTGTTTCTTCTGGGGCTTGCCTCTGCAGCACTGACAGTGACAACCCGCGAGTATCCAATCGCCTCATAGATTGTATGCGCAATCATTTTAGCCACAACCGGAGGAATGGCTTTGCAAACTGTTCCGTACTGTTCTTCTGTCGATCCAAAAAATCGCAATTCATCGGGAATACCTTGCACACGGGCGAGCTCGCGGACGGTTACCCGGTCTTGTCGGACTATGGCGACGCGTCAGACGGCTAGCCAATCGTGTGTAAAGAGACGTGTAAGCAAACCTACCTGGATGGATCCACTGCTTCTGATCATTGAACAGGGAGAAAGGGATAGTGCCGGCTATCGAGATAGTCTCGGCGTCAGACGCAACGCGAATGCCTGTGTAGTGATTGTAGACATGGCCAACCGTGGACGTTTCGCCTTCAGAGCCCTGCACGGCCGGAGGCAAGCACACAAACCCTGTATTCGACTCCGTCCGAACGCGAGGATTCTTGAAAGCCAAGTCTTCAATCAAGCTGCCAATTGTGCTAGGCTGTTCAGATCTCGTGGTATAGCGGTCGAACTTCCAGGATAGAGGCACGCCAAAGAGCGATGCTACAACTGCAAGAATGCTCCGTTCTTGCGGGAGTCCATAATCTCTCAGTGAGATCAGCATCGAGTGGACGGCAAATCCCCTCTCTAGAAGTCTAAGACGCGTTCTGGCGAATCTCGCAACCGCTGACGGATGGCAAACAGCCAGAGGCAATAACATGACGACGAAATCGGGTTTCAATACCTCTACAGCCTTGTCAACACCGTCGAGGGGTTTGAGAAACTGGCGCAACGTCGGCATCTGACGATTCTGCATGTTCAGTCGGAAGCATTGATGTTCGGGCGCGAAGAGAAGCACCTTTGGAGGCGCGGGATCGGGGAGCTGTAGCGGGAGGAGCTTCCCTGAGTCGAAGTCCTTCAACACATTGCAAATCGTACCGTCAAAGCATGTAGCCACGAGGTGTCGGTTCTAGAATCGTCAGTGTTTTGCACATGGGTTTCTGTCACACTCTCGGACTCGTACCAGCCATGTATGGTGTCTCGATTCGTCTACCCCAAACGCTGCCTGAATCTTGAAGCCCCTCCCTGCAAATCCCTCTGAAACACCCAAGACAGAGGGACTTAGATCAAACGCTACCGGCACCGCGTCACTGCGAAAGCTGGGTCTCTCCCAATGATCACCATCATGCAGTAAGAGATGGGATGCCAATGGTGTTATTGTGGTAACACCGCCATCTGTATGTGCCTTGGACACGGCAAACCGACAGAAGAGTCTTTGGGGGTCCATGTCTAGTAGCATGTCAGCGAGATTAGAGACGCTGACCCGCGAGACAAACCTGGGTGATGCCGGGAAACATGACTGATGCCAGTGCTCACCCCCTGTGCAGATCGAATATCGTCAAGGGAAATGGTCTCTGCATCCTGTGACATTCGCATCTTGTCAAAGTCACTAAAGTGCAAAACCACTTCTTGATCCACCAATGCTGGGTTTCCAATCTCTCGAGGCTGCTCAGATGGAAGGATAGAGCTGAGGGCCGAGTACTTGGTGACAAGGAAGAAATATCTCCCTTCCGAGGGGATGTTGGTACTCTGTGAGATATTGTGAACAAAGATGACCTGTTCACCTTCTTCGCCTTCCAATTGGATGCGGTAGTAGTGGTTTTTCTCGAAAGTAATATTCAGGCCTTCGGAGAGAAGTGCAAAAAGGAATATTACATTCAGCTGAAGGCATCAGTCAGTCTTCTCGAACCAGATCAGACGTTAGGTTACAGGTAGGGACATACTAGAAAAGACTCCCGTGGCGCCGAAGAAAAGCCTGGCTGGAGGTGTTGTTGCTGCCACGCCAGCCAATCTTGCTCATCTTTTTGCAGTCTCGTTGTCTCCATTGAATCAACCTTTGGACGACTGACAAGTTTAGGGGCCCGTGGATGGACCTGTGGATGGTCGCGTGGAGGGACTCGCATATCCTGACCAGAATCACCATCATCTTCCCATGTGTCGGATATTGAGTCGGGTTCTGGTTGCAATTCCAAGTCCAAGTCCATGTCTGTGTCCGAGACCTCATCGATTGAGGTTGGCGGCAGTCCGAAAAAGGATGGTGCCTCCGCTCTTGATACCATCGGAAAATAAACCTCACTGGGATCTAAGCCATCAAAGACCACTTCAGAATGAGCTTGCGACACTGTTCGAGTCGGGCAATCGCAGAGGCTCTCTGCTTGTTCGGGTTGTCCAGAGGCTTGACTGGGATCTGAGAACTTGACTCCTGAAGGATGTGTTAGGACTGCCAACACAGAAAATGAATGGGACTTTACCGGCCACATTCAAGACCTCTGTCTTTCTTTGTCGACATGAGCGCTCTTTGTGGACGGTGACCCAGTAGTGGATATTTGACCCATATCTTAACATGAAAGCTCCACTCTCGTTGCCAGCCCATTCCACCTTTAGCTTCCTGCCCCCATTCGCGCTGCTCATTTTGATAGCCCGTGGCATTTTTCGGAGATACTCCACAGCTTGTCGTCGAAGACGCGCGGCGGTCATCGGGGTCAGTTCGAGCTGCTCGCGGATTTCGTCGAAAGCGGCCTCTAGCAGATCCTGGACGACATGGTCGCAGAAGAAGGCACTTTCGTCAGTCATCTGTTCTCCAGCAACTTGAAAGAACTCGCAACTGGATCCTTGGTGTACGCGGACAACGTCGAGCCACTTTGCATGTATTTGGAGTAGAGCTTGATCACTCGAGTAGAGAAGGTCGATATCGGTGTCAGCCCCGTCGACAAACTCAATTCGAATGTTTCCCATCTTTGGGTCCTGCGCGAATGTGCCATTCAATGCGTGGATAATGCTGAGGCCAAATATGTCCATGTCTGGCTTTATGGGTTGTGATGTGCCGAACAAGTGATCTCTCTCCTCGAGGGGCGTCCGCATCAGAGGCGGCTCTTGTCTGAGGATCGTCCAGAGTTTCTTCCCTAGCTTCAAGGGTTGTTTTTTGAGCTCTCTCAAGATAATGTCCTCCTGAGGAGGGCGTCAGCCTTTCGCAGATTGACACATCTATCCATTTTACTCACATCTGTGGTGGCGTTCTGTCGAGATGCATCTCTTTCCGAGTAGAAGAATGCATCTGGCTGGGACTCTTTCAGGCGTCTGCAGATACTCTGTGCCGTCAATCGAGATATGAACTTGTAGGAATGTTCGACATCGTGTGCCGCTTCATCATCGGCGAATAGTTTGACGAAGGCATCGATGACCCAATCTCCCTTTAGTTGGATAGCCTGCGTCCAGATACTAGCCATGGCGTTAGCCTCTTCATGTGGGCTTGCCATCCGTTGGCGGTCTCGATTGATCTGGCCGTTGTAGAAATTATAGCCAAAGCAATAGCCTTTGTCATTTTGCGCATAGCCAGAGGTCTGAGCCACGAGAAGCCCACGGAGGTAAATGCGACCACGAAAGCGAGGATCGAGTATGAGGTCTCCCGTGGTGGTGCGAACAATCCCGGTGGTTTCAGGAGGATCCAGATCGATAGAGACATCCATCCACTTTCGGAAGTCTTCCTCTGAGACCTTCTGAGAGCCTTCTCTATATTTGGACTTCCCTATCTTTACCGTCATGTCTTCCCAGATGTAAGAGGTGAGGCCTCGTTGGGTATCGCCTGCCATTTCGCGTCTGTTGTATTCCTCTCGCTGATCGCGGACCAACTTGGGTCCTGGTTCACTCAAGATGCAACAAAGGCGAGGACGAATCCCTCGAAAGCTGAAATTCCAGCAGAAAGAGTTTGTCTCAAATCTGACGGAATGGCCATTGCGTCGCATCACAAGCGCAGCCAGCTTGAACCCTTCACCGTGACCTCCGGCCAGTGCCTCATTACCCCGCTTACTGGTCTCACCCAGGTCAAGATGTTTCCGATCAAGTTTGGCTTTGAAGTTCGTTAGCTCTAGACTGCCCTGCTTGGCCTGAAATCTGATGTAGCCAAGCAGACGTCCTCGCCCCGGGGACATGCTGGAGGTGGTATTGTCAGATACGGTGATGTGGATCTCCTTGTCATCGTTCCTGACAAAAATGGGGTTTATCGAATGAGGATCGACTCCGAATGACTCAATAATGCCATCCTTCCTGCGCCATGTCAGAAACGTAGACAACCAGAAGCCACAAGCACGACATAATTTCCCTACCAGTTTTGGTAGAACTCTCTGAAGGCATCTCTGGGACGCCAACTGGGTGTGAAAGTCTTGGTCAGGCCCAGATGATGGACGCCAGGTTTGAGCACGTCGCGATCGTCATCATCTTTGAACTGAGGATCTGATGTGTAGAAATCCCCTCCATCGTCCTCGAAGTCCATATTGAACTTCACTGACCAAAGCACACCGAAGGCGTCGTAGACGACAGTGGAAGAGATGTAGATTTGACAGACAAGTCAAGGTGGAGTCAAGATAGCTCGGACGAGGGAGAAAAGAGTGTAGACGAGCTTCCCGATGTAGTTGTGAACATGCTTCAAGAGAAGAGTCACAAGGCTCGGGAGCTCCTGCTATGGAAACAGCTGGCTGGACGTTGGTAAGAAAAGTCTAGGCGAGCGCAGTTGAAAAAAGGGGTGAGAGCGAGTGCGGAGGGCTTAAGATAACTTCATGGCGGTTTTATCAAGTGCCTTGTTTGAGTGTAATTCACGCTACTGCGAGGCGCGTGTTCGGGGGTGCGGTAGAGGTTTTCAGCAGTGTTGCATTCACCTAGCCGTGGGTGTGGTCCCCAATCTTGTCAGCCTACAGAAGGTCTTCTCAATCGTGGTTCCAGCAGAATCAGACGAGGCTGGTCGAGGTACGATGTAGAAGAAGCATTTTCTTCAAGGTTACTGGCACTAGAAGGGTTGGCCCCTGTTTCGAGATGCGTGAAGAGGTTTCGAGGTTGAAGGCAGTGGGTGAAGAGAAAGAGAGTCCTCTCTCTCTCTCTCACACACACACAGGGCGCACTGTCTCTCAAACAGGCAATATTGGTTTGTGGGAAACACGAGGCGCAGTTAGTTTACTGGTGTGACGCCCGGAAGTTTTCTGCTCCGGCCCCGCCTCCACATGCTGAGTAAGGTTCAACGACTTCGGAACAGATGTTCCGCGTGTGTCGACAAATGAAACAGTCAGCAACTCGGCTGACTTAGCGTCCTCGACTGCCACTAGCTGTAGTCTTGCCCGGTTGAGTTTCCCAATACGGATTAGCGTCTGTCACTCTCCCTTGACATCACAGCCTCGTGGTGAGAGTTGGACACGAAAATGGTCCCGGCTGGAGGGTATATGAAGCTCAACATCTCCCCTCCCTTTGTACCAGTTCTCGAACCCGAACATATCTCGAATTTCAATACCAGTCATTCTTTCTGTCCTGACGCAAACGCTCTGACCATATATCCCCCGCCTGATGTCACCAGAATCACAACCTCCTCACCCCGCCCCACGCAGGGCGCATCAAAAGTCACGCACAGGATGTAAGAACTGTAAGCAGAGAAAAGTGAAAGTAAAGTCCCCGAAAAGCCATCATGTCCATTCTGTTCTTACCGGTTTTGACACGCTTGACTGGACAGTGTGACGAGAAACGCCCGGTCTGCGACAAGTGCGTCATCCACTATGCCAACATCCAACAGTGTGACTACGGGGATCAGAGTTCCTCAGCAGACGAACCAACGACTTCGAAAAGACCTGCTACACAGGAGCCGAGGAGTACGTTGAGGATGGTTCCCCTCCTGCCCAAATCTCGCCTGCAGCATAGGGATGCCGGCCATTTCACGCTGCCCAGCTCTGGATCGTCGACATTCGACCCCTTCACACAGTATCCCCCGTCTCTGGAACCAGACATAAACCTCCTAATGGGGACGTGTGAGTGGAATTCATTTCCTCTAGAATAACCTCACCAGAATGCTAACTACAGAGCTACATCCTGCAAGACTTCTCGTCCCACATCTTCAATGTCTTTCCCTACTACCCCACGCCGACTCTCAACCCGGTGCTGGAATTCTTCGCGCCCTTGATAACAAAGGACACGACCTTGTTTCATGTCACCCTGCTTGTCAGCGCCTTCCGGTTGGAGCAGCACTTGCCGCCGAAAGAACGAGTGAGGTGCATACGGCTCTCCAAGATCTGCATGGACCTGATACAGAATAGGATCAACGAGCCCTTCCCGGGCTGTGTCTCTGATGAGACGTTGGCGGCCGTTGCGGGAGTTGCAGTCGTTGAGGTACGTCTAGTTCTACGCACGAAGTGAGAGCGCTTGTGCGTCTGGGAATGGAGAGACTAATAGGTCTGGCAGCACGAAAAAGGCAGTCTGCGTCTATCTCGCATTCACGTGTCAGGCCTGAAACAAATGCTCGAAGTCCGAGGCGGGCTAGAGTCAATTCGCATGTCAAACCCGACAATTGCAAACATGCTGTTCTGGTGAGTATCCATCGAAATCCGACCACCTGTCATTTTGGACACTGATGATTCATATCCAGCATGTTCATCGCCACAGCTGATGTCGATTTCCCGTCGTGCGATGCACAGGCAGTCGTCCAGCGGCCTCTATGGTTCTACCAGAGCCTCCACGCCACCCATGACCTCCACGATACTCACGTAGATGGCTTGAACCCGAGCCCACTCGATTTCCATGCCCATGGCGTTCTGGCAGAGTACGCAGAGCTCATGCTGAACATCCGTATGCTCGCCATGACTTACCAGACAGCCCAGGACTGCAGCTCGGCCACGGAATACCAGGGTGTCTTGACCTTTCTGTGCGCGACTTTGCAGCGACTGCTCACCCTCCCGGTCCCGGACCTGCTGACGGGCAGCTACGAGAGGACCATCACAGCAGCGTGTCGTCACGCCCTGATAATCCACGTCTTCGCCCAGTGGTGCGGGCACCAGCCCGATCCGTCCCTCCTGGTGAGCACGGCCCAGCACGACCTCTTAGCCACACTGCGGCCCCTGACCGAACGAGGCGGGACAAGCTCAAACCTGCTGCTGTGGCTCCTGTCCGTCGGCGGCACCTGTCCCTGCGGCCCAGCGCAGCGCAAATGGTTCGTGAGCCAGCTCGCAGACACGGCGGCGGACCTGGGGATCCATTCCTGGGAGGGCATGAAGGCCAGTCTCAAACAGGTCATATGGCATGAGCACCAGGATGACAGACAGCACAGGGACCTGTGGAACGAGGTGGTCGAACTCAGAGAGGGAGGGACGCTCCACTCGCCGCAGATGGTCTATCGAGTATCTCCTGAGGAGTGAATGCCGTTGGAGAGATCCGAATGAAACCTCTGTTAAATGGTGACTTTAGTCAGCGGTTGAAAGCCACGACCGAAGTGAAGGGGTCAGCACCAGGACACAAAGAAAAGCATGTCATGTCGATCCTCAAGTCATCAACCATTCCGGGCGAGGCGACGACACATCACACCCTGCCGGGACCTTCTCAGGCACCCGGCCGCACATGCTTTCAACATCAGTTTGCGGAATGTGTCCATGACCATGCAGGGTTTAGAAGTGGGATTAAAACCCGCGTAACTTTAACGGGAACCCTGTCAAATGATCTGGTGTCTGAGTATCTGGTATCTGGACTTTTTCAGGTATATGCTTTGAGGCAAAGATATATTCACCATCCAATACAACCAATCAATATAAACCAACACCCCCCAGTTGGTCAAAGCGGGCTTACATTGCCGATTCGCCACCGCAGGGGTGTATCCCAGTATCCCTTTTGCCTTTCCAACCCTCCGGTCAAGCCAGCTTCGGGTTCGGGTTCAAGAGCGAATGACCGACACGAGAAAGTTATGGAGATCGTTCCAGAACCTTTGCAGATCCTATCCACGCTAGGCATATCTCGTGTGGACATGGGAATGGTCCCAGGGAGCGCTGCAAGCCACGTTCCTGGAAGCCAGTTGCCAGGTCCAAAAACTCACCTGTGCCGCAGAATGCCTGTTATTTCTCCAACCGTTGGAGCTATCACAGAGTGGGTGGATGCAAGGCGCATGGTTGCCCTGCATGAGGAACGGGAAGCAATGGGGGCCCAAATCTCGAACGACACAAATGGGACCTGATAGTGGGTATTTGGCGGCCCCTTCTGGTCTCTGGTGCCGCAATCTCAACAGTAAGCCCTGGCTGGAATTCTTTTAAATCTGCTGGAGGGGTCCATGTATAAGCTCTGGACTTTTGGCCGTTGTGTCTGGGATTCTCAGCTGTATAGGAAGAATAACAACGTGAGTAACCTCTGACTGACGGTCCGGCTGCGAATTCCTTCTTCGCTTCCAAGCCATCAAGTCGGCCTCTCATTGACTTCGCACAGAACCGATCACAAGCCTTCCACTGTTCCCTCAAAAGAACGCACGACACCATGATGGTATAGCATGAACGCAATCCCCACAAGAATCGCTGCGTGTGACCGAAGAGGCGATGGGCGATATGAATGAGGTGAAGTCTGTTCCGTTAGAGCTGGGCTGGGAAACGGCTCTTCCAGACGTGAACTTGGACTTCTTCCCGAATATTGTATTTTGGAACGAGAAAGTCCTGGCATGCTGCGTCTGCGGCGAATCCCTCGGCTCCCAATGCGGCTGTATTCCTAGTTCCGCGGTGTCTCGTCACGATCCCAACAGTCTCGGACAGTCGCCCACAGAGCGTAGCAACTGGGATCCGACCGATTTGGACACTCGCTTCACCCGGCTCGAGCCAGAGGGCAAGGAAGAGCCAAACCCCACGGCTCCGACGAGGAAAGAGGTATCTATTCCCCAGAGAAGGAAGTCGTACTCTGTCTGACCAAGACGTCCGCCAGCGTCGAAGACAGCAGAACCGTGCAGCGCAAGTTCGACATCGGAACAAGCGCAATCGATTTCTCCATGAAACCCTCCGCAGTATTGATTCTTTGAGTGAGGAATTGGAGCACACCCGGGCCCAGCGAGACTATTTCAAACTCATGTATGAAGATCTCGAGACGCAGTTGTTGGAGATAAGAGGACAAGCAAACTCGAAATTCCACAGCAACGCTCATATGTAGGAGTTAGCTGAGACCGTAATTCCATAGGGAGATGCCGGCCTGATCATTGCATGTGCGAGATCTCGTTGTTATGACCCCAGCCCCTGAGCACACAGAACAGGGCGAGATCCCCCAAGTCTGTTCAATGGTCTCTTTGAGATCGGTATCAACTCACTGAACCGGTGGAGGTATTATTGTTGCCAATACAGAGACGTGAGTTGATTGTCATAGTCATACCCGGCGGTATCATCAAAGGCCAAGTCCTGTCCGAACCACTGCAAAACATCAATACCGCCCATGAAGGCGTCGTCCATATCATTCTCCAGCATCTGTGAATTTTGTGATTGAGTCTGTGCATCCAGCGGAGTCTGTTCATGGTGCAGTGGTGCTGGAGGTACACTGTTCAGGTTACTAGAATCATACACAAGAGAATCTGTTCCGTGTGATTGTTGGCTCTCATGGGCACGTATGCAAGGAAGGCCAACGCGTTCATCTGGCGGCATTGAAGAGGCGGGAGTTAGTGCGGCTCTGGCTTTGTTACTTGCAGCAGGGTCCGCTTGCGCCATCGCAGCAAGCAATCTGGATGAATTTAGTCCTTGTGTCTGAATCTGCGAGAGGACCAAGCAGAACGCTCTCGCCACAACAGAGTTGTTTTGAGCATAGACCCTCCTGAGTACATCGACGATGGAAGTCAAGTACTCTTCAAATTTCAAATCTCGAACGTCGATATGGGACCTCCCTTCGAACTCTGCCTGGCTATCACATATACTGAGTAATTTGCGAAGTGCTCGAGCTGCGTAACCTGTGCGAACAAAGAAAACGTTGGGCAAGCTGCAAAGGATAGCCAAGTCCATGGAGAGAAATGCGTCAAAGCATTCGTGAATTGCAGCAAGGCAGGCAAACAATGCTTCGACTCTAGCGGGGATGAAATGTAGGTCTTTGAATTTTGATGTCATACTCTCGACTGCTGGAATAGGGAGCGGAGGCGCCGCCCGGAGTGGTGAACGTAGGTCGTCAATGTCATGTTCCGGATGCAGGGCGATTTCGTGGATGAAGAGATCGGTATACGCGGCAACATGGCGGACGTAGTCTTCGGATATTCGGCATCAGCTTCTGCAATATAGATCTGACTCGTTACTTACGCAGGCTCAAATCTGTTTTGGCATGGCGACGCCAGTAGTCCAATTGTTGACGAAAGGCTCGTATCTGATACTGAATCTTGACGTCGCGGAGTGTCACAATTGCACCCGGGTCGTCCATGGAAAATGTGACTGAGGCATCTTCTGCAATGCGTTGAATACGTATCAAGTCGCACAGCCACATGTCGCTTGGTAAGACACGCTCCTCAGCAGAGAGGACATCCAGGCATTCCTCGGTGTACACGGACCAGCGGACGAAGGCGGGGTGGCGAAGTGACATTGAGACACTGGGTAGATCTATTAGATACTATGCAACATGGTCGGTTGGCATCTCACCTCGTGCCCATATAATAGCAGCCCAACCATGCCCTTCGGCCTGCGAGGGATTCTAGTTGATGAGGATCTGTTCTTTGCTTCAACGTTGATTTATGGGGCCGTCGGCCTAAACCGATGTCAAGCGCCATTGTGCTGGCAATATGCACCATCTGGTTGAAATTGAGATCTCGCATATTTTTGGCCCTGCTGTAGAACACGATATGAACGATTAGAGTCTGAACAAGCTCTAGAGATCGTTCACCGTTGTACACGACACGCAGGGCTAGATCTTTGATGAGCATGTCGCATAGCTCTGCATCCACTGTGGTATGCATCGAACCAAGGCCAACTGTAATCACAGCGAAAAACAAGAGTGGCTGTTGCTGTTTGACTGTCTCGGCATCGACATCAGACCCAAAGACCACAAATGGGAAGTACCGACACATTTCATTCTTATATCGGTCAAAAGCCTTGCGGGCAGTATCCCAGTCGAGCAAACCGCGAGATAAGGCATCCGTAATGAGGGACTTGTCGGGTTCGGCTGATGTCTGCGGGTCGTTTGTTGAGGTTCCGGTCAAAGTGTCACGGACACTGGCTAGTTTCTTATGATCTTCAGGACTGGTTGTCTCATTAGAAGTCAGAAGCGCAGTCAAAACATTGATTTTCTGCTCCAGATCGGCAACTCGGTCGGTGGTCCTTCTTTTCCTTCGTCGCGGTACATCCTGCATGATACATTGTCGACGGGCTCGTATGCACAATTTGCAGGCATTGCCCAGTGCTTCGTCGATCTCGCATCTTGTTTTCATCCGTCTGCAGGTTATACATGCTCGACTGGACCGGACAGTTCGAGCTTTGGGCGCAGTGGCATCGTCGCTCTCTTCGCTGCCGTCACTGTGGATTTCGTGTTCGTCAGAGGGTTCCATCGTTCATCGGTCCCAGAATCTCTAGGTATCATGGGCATTCTAGTCCTCAAAGATAGTTTATTGGGAGTGACGAGGGATGGGAAAGGCTGCTGAACTACTGTTTGGACTTGGTCATCAGGGGGTGAGTCAGTTGTTGCCTGCGGATGAATATTACTCCGATGATTGTAGAGGGACAGAGCCTTACCGGCTCTTTATCTCAGTCATGATTGGTCAGCCTCGTGAGACCAACTCGTATTGATTTTGGGGTGACCTTGTCGCATAGTCTAAGTCTTTCAATGAGGTCCTGATCTATAGAATAATGCTCTTGTCAAGTCATCGACACGATCCAACAAACGTAGTGTCAACAAGCTAAGGCTTTGACCTTCAACTCCTTGTTGGCTTTTAGGATACGGCCGCACCATCCTGGCTCACCGTCCAGTACCAGAAACTGACTCGAGACTTTCTCCTGGCGAACCATTATGGTTTTTGGCCTCTGAATCAGCTTTTTGAACCCTCAACAGGAGCATTGACTGTCTGCAGGCTGTTCTTCTTAATCAGTCCGAGCTTCTCTAGACGAATCTCCATGGCTCGTCGATGGGCATCGAGGCCTTCGCATCGTGCAAGCTCCATCACTGCATAGCCTACCTCCCCAACACCCTGCTCTGTGACTTCACTGCTGGTGATGTTCTTCATGAAACTTCCGAGGTTGACACCGCTGTATTGCTTCGCGTAGCCGTATGTTGGCAAGCTGTGGTTCACGCCAGCAGAGTAATCGCCAACCGACTCGGGCGTCCAGCCTCCAAGGAAGACGGAACCTGCGTTCTGGACATCGGATAGTACGGCGCGGGGATCAGCGATTTGTAGGATGAGGTGTTCAGGTGCATAGTAATTCGACCACTTTAATGCCTCTGTGAGAGTCTTCACAGAGATGGTCACACTGTGTTCGATGGCTCCCCGAACAATATCCACTCGTGGGAGTTCATGCGCCTGCTTGTGCACTTCGTCTTCGATCGCTTGGAGCTGCTCCTCCGTCAGGTCAACGGCAATCAGGACTACTTGACTGTCTGTGCCGTGTTCGGCTTGACTTAGCAGGTCACTGGCAACAAAGGCGGGATCGGCTGTTTTGTCCGCCACAACGAGCACTTCAGACGGGCCAGCTGGCATGTCAATTGATACTGCGGCGGAGGTATCGTTGCTGACGATCATTTTCGCGGCCGTGACAAACTGATTCCCAGGCCCTAGAATTTTATCGACCTTGGTGACAGATTCCGTCCCATAGGCCATGGCAGCGATAGCCTGGGCACCGCCTGCTAGAACAATGGCTTCTGCTCCCACCTTGTGCGCAATGTATACGATTTCTGGTGTGAGTGTGCCGTCAGATCTCGGTGGCGATGCGAGGACGATGTTCTTGCATCCTGCAGCCATTGCTGGGACACCGAGCATCAGCGCCGTAGAAGGCAAAACCGCTGTTCCGCCAGGAATGTATAAACCAACTTTCTCGATCGGTCTCGAAAACCGAGAGCAGGTCACCCCAGGCATTGTCTCCACTACCAGGGGTGCCGATGGTTTCTGGGCGGCATGGAATTTGAGGATATTATCGTACGAAGTATTGATCGCTTTGATGGTCTCTTCGGGAAGTTGCATAAGAGACTCGGGAAAAGGTGCTTTTAGTACAGGGGATTTCAGAGCGGTGGCTTTCTCAAACTTGTGGGTATATTTTAGAACAGCAGAGTCGCCATTGGCACGAACATCAGCAATAATGGGATGAACCAGAGACATGATCTTCTCGTTCGACTTTTGCGAAGGTCGTTGTAAGGCAGCTTTCAAGATATCGTCCGAGAAAGCTTGCGATGTCGAAAACCGCGTCAATTGTATCCGACCAGTTTCGGTCTTACCGGCAGGATCCGAAGGTCCTTTTGGCACAGATGCGGCTTCTTTGACTTCTTCATCTTTGTGGCCATCGACGCCGTTGGTCGTGGGCGGTGGCTTTTCAGCGACAGGCGTCTCCTCAACGTACTGGGGCTTTGCGTCGCCTTTTCGTCTCTTCACTTTCAGACTCTTCAGGTCAAGGTTCTTCTCGATATCTTCCAAAGTAACGTCCGCGGCAATACATCGAGCAAGAGCAAAGTAGAGCAGATCAGCTGCTTCTGAGGCGATCTCTTCCTTTGTAGTTGCTGCACAAAGCTCATCTGCTTCTTCCTTGATTTTTGCATTGACAAGCTTCGGGTCGTTGAAAAGCCGAGCGGTGTAAGAGCCTTCAGGTGCATCACTCTTGCGTTGTTGCAGTGTACGTTGTAGTCTAGAGAGCCCGGAAACCTTGCCCCAGCATGACATAGTTCTCAGATGGCAGAAGCCCTGTCCTTTCTGATGGACCCTGAAAATCAAGCAGTCCTTATCGCAATCAAAGCCGATACTGATGAGTTCTTGGATGTCTCCGCTAGAGGCACCCTTGTGCCAAAGCCCTCGTTTTCGACTTTGGTAAACGCCTGTTCCTGTTTTGAGGGCTTCCGCGATGCTTTCTCTGCTGCTCCAGACCAGGCCCAGCGCAACGCCGCGCTCATCAACCACCGTAGTTGCATAAAGGCCTGTCTTTCTATCCGCGGTGGCTCCGGCGAGGATCAGTTCGACAGCAGGAATCAGGCCCTTGTTTTCCTCCTTGGAAGGGTCGAAAGTCAACTTTTTCGAAGAGACAATCAGAGCATTTCCGGGGTATTCATGCAGCAAGTTTCTCCCTTCAGTCTCGCTTGCAACGGAGACGAATATAGTCTGATCGTGACTGGGGGGATAATTATCCAGCTCTTTCAACACATCATCAACAAGCTCGTTTCCTTTGTCACCATCGAATGCCCATTCGGCGGTCTTCCATCTTGGATTGTCGTCGATAAAGGCCTTGAGTTTTACGATGTCGGTTTTCGGATTGACAAGGGAGATAGTCAACACGAGGCGATCAGCGGAAATGGTAGGCTCCTGCGACAAAGCTTTTAGTTGCTCAAAGGTGACGAAGATTTTGGACGCTCCATTATTGAGAATGTCAATGACATTGTCCCAACTCTTCAGTTTTCGAACGTCAAGGTATATGTCGAGCCTGGAAAAATTGCGGCGTAGGAAAGCAAGATTGGAGTCGAAGGTCTCGGGGGTGACTTCGATCAGACAATGCCCCAGGTAGGCAACTTGATCAAGAGTGAGACCATCAACCTCTTTCTTGAGAATGTCCTCTGGATCGACCGAAACCAAGAGCCCAGTACCCATGTCTAGGACCAAGTTGTTGGGTCTGAGTGTCGCGGATACAAATGTTAAACGTGGAGTGAGGGGAGAAAAATCGCAGGGAATAAAAAAGTGACTGTGACAATAGAAGCTCAACAATTTGCGGCGCTGAGTGGCTGCGCAGGCGGGACACCCCATCGACTCTAATGACCCTGTATCGATAGTGACGATAACGATAAGACTGGAAAGGAAGGTCCTCCGAGAAGCCTCGCGTTAGTTGCGTCATCACGTGGCCATCTCAAAAAGCTTCTCTTTCCAACTCCACCACAAACGTCCATTGATATCCATCGTCCCCGACCGCGTGGCTCTCCATTGCATGCATATGTTTATCTGCATTCACATGTCAGCGGACAGGATGTTGGCACCAGTGTAACTCTGTTCGTGTCAGGCCACCTTTTTGATGGGGTAAAGACGACATTGAAGACATGTGAAAACGTTCTTGGTACTACTGCCACCACGAGCAGAAGCATATCCTTTTCCACAATCTCCTTTTTTGCAACAAGCTTAATCTACATCCCATTTGATTTGGTGATTCACATATTTGTGACCAAACACATACCATACCCAAGCGGCCTCCACATGCACGAAGGCAGCCTGCTCCAAGGTAATGCATGCCTCATCTGACAGATTCTCGTGCAGCCGGCTCGCCGGCACCTCACGATGAGCTGGCAGCCCTCCATATCCATGGAGTCCAACTGACAATTGGTCGGCCCACAGCTCCTTTCCGAGCCAGATCCGTTGTTAAACACACGGACATGATTAACCGACAAAGAGTGTCTTTTCAGTTCAGGTTTGGTTTGAATGTTGGTGGCAACTTGTCGATGCTTTTCGCTATTGAAGAATGCACTCTCGGTGCATAGATCCTGGTGTAGGTTCTTCGAGTATTTTGTCAAGCGCCGGCTTTGTCAGACGGCACCATTAGTTTGTGTAGAAGCCACACGCAGCGGGCTTGCAAAGACCAGTTGCTCTCCTTATTCCGCGGCCCATCACGACACAAAGACTTCTATTGAGCAGCTGGTGTTTCCGCAAGGGAAACTGCCCATAAAACACAATACCCCAAACCAGGGAAGTGAAAGAACTTGTTCTTGCGGGAATTAGGAAAGTGGTCGTCAAGTCTCACTGTATGTATGAGAGGTCACGGCATATACCATCATACCAAATTCGTCCACGGATGCCAGCCAATCATCTATCTTTTTCTGTCGCACCTGTGCTGGATCGGGTCCAGATTGTGGCCAGAGATCATTGATGAGAAGCTCGCCATCGCTCCAGAGGCCCAGCTGTTGGTTATAAGCTGTGTTCCACGATCGACGATCGCGCGCATTCCAGAGAGTTTTGCTTGCCGGAGCTGGGAGACCTGCAAGTTCTACAGCAACAAAGGATGGAGTGCCCACGGTGAAGTTGACCAGGTTGTCAAGTAAACAGGTAGCGAACAGTGTCCTTCTTTTCGTGGAAGCGACAATCCACGATTCCCAGTCGGGTCGACTGCCATTTGTCTCGGCAGGACAAAGGGTCCCTCTGCTTGCGACGTCACCTGCTAAGTCTTGGAGTTTGATCATGATATCTTGTTCTACCAAGCTAGCAGCATTGGCCGAGGAGAAGAGCATGATGGTGTAGAGAAGATAGACCTGTAATATGGCCAAAAGCTCCAAGTGGCCCGAAAATGCGCGCTGGTTGCTTCATTTCAGCCTCGAAACCAGAATTGAAGAAGATTGTACGTGCCTTTTGAAATACCCGCGACATTTCCTGTCCGATGATTTCTTGGACCATGGCTGCGCTTTCAGGGGTCTGTCCCACCCACATGCGTGCTATTTTCACGCAATTTGCTAACGGCTCAGCAATGCCACATGCAATTTGAGACCAGTGAATGAAAGGAGGAAGATTGTCGGTCAGAAATATTTTGGGATATGACTTGAAGATGCGCGTGACGAACGCCATTGTAGACGCATGATAAGGCTTCGGCCTCTGATCCATGGAAGGCAGGAGGCTCTCCAGCCAGCGCCCGCGGATTTTGTGTTCATCCACTGTGCATATCAGATGGATGTTTTCGAAATCCAGCGAGTCGGTGCTGAGCAGATCTGCCGCAAGTTGAGGCGAGAGTCCGGCTCCATCGGTGGTGGCTGGTGAAGGCTGAAGGACGGCGATGTGGTCGACAAGCCTCGCATCAACGTAGGCGCAATCAAGGCTTCGGTTGCTACACCTCGTACAAGACGGTCTCTTGAGGTCGCACCGCACTTTCGATCTGTAGCAATGATTGCAGGACTTTTTCCTGGGTAGAGAATCCTTCGGACTCATGGCCAGAGGGACCGGCTTCGCCTGGAACTACGAAGAGGAGGAAGCGAAGAGGCGTCGAGGATCCCGAAGATGGAGTGAGCGCAATGAGATGACGCGCTTGTCCTGTTTTGGAATAGCTCTCCAGACATATTCTCGGCTAAGTTGCTTCGGACTTGATCCACCCCATCCCCGCCCATTCTATACATCCATATCTTGCTGTGCCATCCCAACATGCACTTGATCATGCGACAACCTCTCTGTCGCGAATCAGTAATTCATACTCTATTTCATTCAGTCCAAACCTCACCAATTCGATAGTCAGCCAAGGGCTACGTAGACCCGACTTACAATGATCACATTTCGGACCTGGAGCTCATCACCTCCAACTCAGGACATGTCGATGCCGCCATTAGGGGTTCGGTTTTTTGACCCTTTGGCGACGATGGTATTCACCAGGTGAGCCTAGGAAAGTATGTAAATATACTTCAGACGACACCATTGCGGTATTCCCCCCGATGGCGCTGCGAATGTCTTCTCAAATCTCCCTGCTTGCCTCCGGTGTCGGAACTCCGATCATCCCTGTCCACACCGAACAGGGCGTGGCTCAATACTTCCACAGGCATATATAGACAGTCGGCACCCGAGCAGCATGCTGTTTTCCTCCAACAACAGGTTCAAAATGTCTCAATCCGAAGCTATGACACAGGTTGAGTCCTCCAAACCTTACACAATCTTCACACTTTCACAAAAAGCCCTCATTGTCACCATTATTTCATTTGCAGCTACACTTTCAGGCTTTGCGTCGAATATCTACTTTCCCGCCCTCCCTCAAATCGCTGATGACCTGTCAGTCAGTACCAGCCTCATCAACCTCACCGTGACATGCTACTTGATATTTCAAGGCTTGTCGCCTACCCTCTGGGGCTCGTTGTCCGATACCAAAGGCCGCCGCATTACCTATATCTGCACTCTCGTCGTGTTTCTTGGAGCGTGTATCGGGTTGGCAGAGACACGAAGCTACGCGCAACTGTTGGTTCTTCGTTGTGTCCAAAGTACCGGAAGTGCTAGCACCATTGCATTGGGTGCTGGAGTCCTTGGCGACATTACAACGAGGGAAGAAAGAGCTGGTTATATGGGTATTTTCCAAGGAGGACTTTTGATGCCGGTCGCCATCGGCCCTGTTATTGGTGGTGTCTTATCGGACAAGATGGGCTGGAGATCAGTGTTTTGGTTTCTGACCATCTATGGTGGTGTCTGTGTCCTTGTCATTGTCCTGGTCCTGCCTGAGACATTGAGGTCCATGGTGGGAAACGGAGCGGAAGAGCCAAAGCGATATGCCATGTCCCCTCTTGCACTGTATCAGAGAAAGAAGCACTTCAGGCAAGACACCAACCCCTCCGCAGAGGGCGAGAAACCCGCGCCGAAACGAACCGATTTTCTGGGTCCAGCAAAGATTTTATTCCACTGGAATACCTTTTGTGCTATCTTTTATGTTGCGGTCCACTACGCAGTGTGGCAGATGGTTCTCACCGCCGTTTCCGTGCTCGTCCAACAGAAATATCATACTTCAGAAATCCAAGTTGGTCTCATCTTCCTGGCCAACGGAGCCGGATCCATCATCGGCACCGTTCTGGTCGGCAGATTCCTAGACTATGATTACAGGCGGATTCTACGCAAGTATGGCGGCGATGAACAGCGCGTGCCTATTGAAAAGGCTCGGCTAAGGACTGTCTGGCTCTGGAGTGCACTTGAATGTGTGTCAGTGCTGATTTTTGGGTGGACCGTCGACCAAGGTGTTCATATCTCTGTGCCTATTATCTGTTTTTTTGTCTTGGGCTGGGCAGCCATCTCTCTCCAAAGCGTGATCTCGACCTACCTCGTCGACATCCACCATACCCAGAGTGCCTCAGCCACAGCTTCCTTGAATCTCGTTCGCTGTCTCTTAGGAGCTGGCGGAACTGCTGTGGTTGGGCCTCTGATCAACAGCATTCATGTCGGCTGGACCTTTACCTTGTTAACGGGTATCATGCTCGTACTGAGTGGTCTTGGTCTAGTCCAAATCATGTTTGGGAAAGCCTGGAGGCGGAAACGCGAGCACAACTCGCCGTCTGAAATGGAAGGCCAGGGGAATGTCTGAAAATCAGACTCGTGTAAGGCACATGCATCCGTGGTTCTTGCTCGTGGATAGAGTTCATAGATTACCAACGAGGCCAGAATAGTTGTGACGATAGAGGAGTGCATTTCCTCACTGGGGCTTGACGCTTTGCAACGATACATCTATCACATAGTCCAAAGTCATCTATCTCGCTGGTCTTTAAGCGAAGCTGAGGCGTGTGTGTGATGTTGAACTGCTAAAGCGGCATGAATCTCTGGACGAATCAAGATTAGACCCACCGGCCGCATTTTGGAGTCATTTCTCTCTAACTTGGAGTCAGAGGCCAGTGAGCACCAGCCCTAATATTTTGTCTTGTAACTGCTCTTCCTCTTACCCTTGCTGTCCGACAAACACGTTCCCCCGGGCGGACGCAACCATGGCAGAAGATTTGACCCCGAAAGTGCTTGAAGTACTGAACTCCGCAAATGGTCCTGTCATCACATCGGAAGCCTTTCCCAATGCCACCTTTGTCAGTGTCAAATCCGCTGTCGACAAATTACGGTCGAGAGACTTCATTGAAGCAGAGCAGATTGATCGGTTGGAACTTGTTCTGACAAAAGAAGGCCAAGATATTGCAGAAAATGGGAGCAACGGCGCAAGAGTTTTCGAGGCAGTTCGATCCGCATTGGAGGGACTGAAGATCAAAGATTTACCCGCAGCCGTGGGCGACGCAAACGTGGCCAAGTTCGGTTCGGGAGATGCCTTCAAGCTCAAGTGGATCAAGAAAGACGGGGACACTCTCAAGGCGACTGCGGACAAGATCCAGGACGAGGTACAAGAACAATTACGACAGATCCAATCCGGGAAGGCCTTAGACAACCCCAAAGTCGTGGCAGACTTCAGGAAGAGGAAATATGTGGTAGAACAGAAAACGGTCGCCTTTAAGATTTCCAAAGGCCCTAAATTCTCGACTGAATTTGTCAAGGAGGAGGCGGATCTGACTGCAGAAATGCTGGCGTCTGGCGCCTGGAAGACCGTGCAGTTGAAACCATATAACTTCAAGGCCAAAGGGGCACCCACGCCATCCGGAGCTCTTCACCCTCTCAACAAAGTACGTCAAGAGTTCAGAGAGATCTTCTTCGAGATGGGCTTCGAGGAGATGCCAACAAATCGCTATGTGGAGACTGGTTTCTGGAATTTTGATTCTCTTTTTGTCCCTCAACAACATCCCGCGCGCGACCTTCAAGACACATTTTACATCTCAGATCCCATCAGAGCCGATCCTCCTCGGGCAGATCCAGAACCTCCGGCCCCAGGGGAGAAATCTATACCTTCACCTTCTCATAAGAGGACAAAGTCGAAGGAAAAGGGCCTGGACTTCAAGAAGTACTGGGATGATGTTCGTGCCGTGCATGAAAACGGAAAGTTCGGCTCGATAGGCTACAGATACCCATGGTCTGAAGATGAGTCTTTGCGACTAGTCATGCGAACTCACACCACGGCAATTTCTGCATACATGCTTCACAAACTCGCTCTGAATCCTCGGCCGGCGCGATACTTCTCTATCGACAGAGTCTTCCGAAATGAGACGGTTGATCAAACGCATCTTGCAGAATTCCACCAAGTCGAAGGCGTAATTGCCGACTGGGGTCTGACACTGGGCGGCTTGATTGGTTTCATGGAGGTCTTCTTCGGCAAGATGGGTATCAGAAACCTGCGATTCAAGCCTGCATACAATCCTTACACGGAGCCGAGCATGGAGATCTTCAGCTACCACGAGGGATTGAAGAAGTGGGTGGAAATCGGAAACAGTGGCATGTTCCGGCCAGAAATGTTGGAGCCAATGGGTTTACCCAAAGATATGCGGATATATGGTTGGGGCCTGAGTTTGGAGCGACCGACCATGATCAAGTGAGTTTTCGATCCTTCGGTCTTGTGAATATGCTAATGTCTTTGAACAGATACGGCGTTAACAATATCCGGGAGCTTTTGGGACATAAAGTCGACCTCAACTTCATTGAACAGAATCCTGCCGTCCGCTTACACAAAGACTAGAGAGCCGATCACAGGCGACAACTCAGCATGTACGAAGACTCACGAATCCTACGCGCTCAAGATGTGTTGCCATTGAAAAGAGGCATCCCTTACAAAAAGTTCTAGATTCCGCAAAGAGAAGGCTAGAAATGATACCCCGTTGAATTCTTCTCGCTCTTCCCCCTGAGCTGCCTCGACTCCATTTTCCTTTCTCCTCTTTTATTGAACCCTCTTATCCTCTTGAATTTTTTCAACCGGCACATCAAGGCTTCCTCAGGCTCAATCTGCCATGACTGGGGAAGTAGAGATAAAAAAAAATCGTACATACAACAGCCGAAGATTAAGCCATAAATACCGCCTTCTGAAGAGCTGTGATTTTATTATTCCGAGATTGAGAGTCAGAGCACAGATACGGGTGGCACATTCTCCGTCCATTTCCGAGGAGCCATACATATAGAACTCCCCCATGCCTATGTCATGAAGGAGGACGGGGGGAACATGTAAAACAATTGATGATGTTTTGAATAGTGTATTTCCGGGGGAACGGTTCGTCCCCAGTTTTGCATTTTTCTATTGATGCCGGTCGTGCAGAGTGCACCATGTCCGTTTCCTGCGACCAAGCAAAGTGAAAAAGGTGCTTCTTCTGTCGTGCAATGGATAGCAGTCACCATCACCGACCCCACAATCAAACCATCGTGTCCTCCGGCGTGGCTGTGTGCATCGCTCGACCGAGAAGAGTAATTCGATGATCGACCAGGCAAGGAACCTCGATTGAGTCCTCCTTCCTCACTTCGACCACGTACGCCCACTCCCGTGCACAATATGTCTCCTCGTGCGCATCTTCATCCTCTGTTCACCTCCTGTCTCCCCTGATCTTCGCTATCTCCACCCCTCAGCCATCGTGTCCGCTTATCTCGTGGCCTGCGCGCTCCAGACACTCTTGAGGAACCCGTCCTTCTGCGCCAGTCGGTTCAAGCTGTCGTCGCTCTCGGCCCGGGACCGCACGAACCCGCACAGCGCGTACACCTGGTTCTCGCCCGTGTACCGGCCGTTCTCGTCGACCTTGCCCACCGAGATCTGCACGCTGGCGTGGTCCTTGGCCTTGATGATGCGGTTCGTCGCGCTGCATTTGCGGGGGACGTAGCTGTGTTGAAGGAGGATGTTAGCGCTCTGAAGTTCGAGACAGTGAACAGCGTGAGTAGGAGATGGGACGAGAGTCGGGATACGGTCATTATAGCGCATGCGCAAAGACCTTTTGGCACTCCCGTAGAGATTGGGTTCAGGCGTGTCATGTGTGTGAGAAGCCAGATCTCTCTTCCCCTTCTCACACACGCAGAGGAAAAAGAGAAAGGATGTAAAAAGGAAAACGTTGACGTGGGAAAGCCTTACAGATCGACGATTTCGCCCTTTTCGTTCTCCATGGTGCTTGAATTTGGTGCTAGGACCCAAGTACTTTTCTCTTGTGACAAGGGAGGATATTTAGGGTATGGTAGGTTGAGGTGAGGTCGTCGAAGTCGTGGTTGCTAAGGGACCTTTTATTCAATCTCGTCGACAATGGCTGCGGCGGGGAAAATAATTGAGAAATGTGCGCTTTGCGTGGGTCGGAGCCTGCGACTCCGATCTGCCAAGATATCTGCACTTGTCACCTGATAGAACTCGCCGTAGTATTACTGCGGGCTAAAACACCAAAAGCGAAGTTAGGTTGCGGATCGAGGCGTACAATATTCTCTCGGACTACGAGGTACACCTTGACTACACCAAGATGTTTGACATCGAATGTACCTTTACAACGTGCTATAAGCACACTCTCAGGTATTAATATGTTCAGTGCCTACCCGAAGTTAGTATCGACAACACCCGCAGCTGAATGAGTGGTGAGTGATGGCTTGCTCAGTGGACAGAGCGCAGGCATGTCTTCCCTCGTTCCCAAGCCTGGAGAGTCTAATGCCCTTGACTAGGGAATCACACCGCAGGCCCAGCGAGGGTCAGGCGAGGCTTAGCCAGACCTATGGTCATACATGAGCTGAAAAAGATGCACAAGGTGCCAAGGCGCCGCCAAATCCAGAGGATCTTTGGTGCCCAAAGTCTAATCAGACTGTCCTTTCCTAGCCTTGTGTACGATGGTGTTTGATGCCAGAAGCAGCCTACCTATATAAGGAAACACAGGCCGGAGCCTACTCAGACTAACCCCCTACTTTTGAAGACCATTAGGCTGTGGATGATACCGCAGAGAAACTCCTACCAGAAAGATGGTGAACTAAAGATCACAAATGTCGAACATTATGGAGCTGCCCCAACGCTCCTCTACCATGGCTTTACCCTCTTGAGCGTCACCACGAGACCATCTCTTGGTTTCGATGTCACGACGCCGGCAGGAACCACTTCTTCCTCTGGGTGGAGCAGAGCCCATTCAAAGGCTCCAACAAATGCCGCCACCAGTGCCCTCAGCTCTGCCCGTGCAAAGTTCTGCCCAATACAACTTCGCTGTCCGTGGAGGAATGTTAGGATTGCATAGTTGGTCGACGCGCCGCCCGTCTGGTTCGGCTTTCCGGTTTCGGGGTCAATCCATCTCTCCGGCCGGAACTCTTGGGCATCGGGACCCCATAATTCAGGATCGTTGTTGACTGCCCACGGCGCCATGATGAACTTGGTGCCTGCGGCAACTGGGTGGCCTATCAAGGTAGTGTCTCGCTTAGTTGTTCTCATCGTGACCGGCACAGCTGGCAAGACGCGGAGGCTTTCGCTGCACACGCCGTTGAGGAGGGGCAGCGATTCAAGCACCGAGGCTATGGTCGTATCCTGGGGATCAACAGTGGAGAATCCATTCGGGATTGCAGCGTGAATCTCTGCGCGGAGGCGGGACTGGATATCGGGATGAAGCGCAAGAAGATATGTTACCCATGTGAAACTCGAGGAGGTTGTTTCATGGCTGAATGCTAACGTTAGTGCTCAATTACCTGGCGGGACATCCAACGGCTTGTCGGAAGAGAGACAAAGCCACACTCACCCAGCTGCTATGATGGTCAAAAGTTGGTCTACGAGCTCGTCATCCGAGAATATGTTTGCCTTGATCAGCGAGGCAAGGGTATCAATGGATTGGTTTGGTGAACCCTTCATCCTTTCCCGCTTTTCTCGCACAAACTGCCTGCATATAAGTCTCAATTGGGCATTGAGGCTATCGTATTGGTGAGCGACGGGACGACAGAGCAAAGATGCAAGCTTGTTGCTAACGAGCAAGGCCACTGCCGCGTGGATTTGCCGGCCCACGGAAGGATGGACCAGCTGGTCATACAATTTGACCATCTCGTCGTCCGAATTGCCTAACGTGTTGAAATTTCGGCCCAGGCCTGCCACGCCGATGATGTCCAACGTTGTTTTCGGTGCGTAATACTCAATATCAATCGCCCCAGGCGGCAGGTTCTCGGCGCCTCCGTGGCCACGATCTGGCCCAAAGGCCTCGGCATCGATCACCTGAGTCATCTTGACGGACTTCTCCCAAAACACATTGTACAGCAGTTTGATCTGTCGGAAAGCGAAGCTGGGCATGCTGTGCTTGCGCTGGTGTTTGTGCTGCTCGCCCTCGGCCACGACCAGGCCGTCCCCGATCAACTGACGGAGAAAGGCACGGTCCTTGTCAGGTTTGGGGAAGTCGTACGATCGGGTGACGAGGATCTCGGCCAGTGCCTTGGGACTCGTCACCAATACTTGATCGGCATTCAAGAATCCCTTGAGGCGAATGAGGCCGTCATTGGGAACTTCGCGGGTAAATCTCTGATAGTCGCCTCCTCGCGGAGCCTTGAACTGGGACCAGGCGTGGCCGATGATGGGTAAAGCGCCCTATGTGCCGGTATCAACGCTGCCGCCTGCGCCTTGGACGCGACATTTTGTGCAAGACGTACCTTGGCCATTGGCAGATCTCGAAGCGGGCTGACGAAATTGGGATAAATGAATACCAGATAGAAGAACCATAGTGCAAAGTTGAGGAGCGTGAAGCAGAGAAAGGCTGGATTGAAGCCATCGACGGGGGAATACTGGGGAGCTGCTGCAACCAAGACTACAGCCTGCAACGCTGCAGAGAAGATCAGCAGTAACGACGTGGGAATGTTGACGGCCATTGCGGGACAAGACAGAATCAAAGGCCCAGTCGACGCGACATGAAAGAGTTCCTACATGACTCTGGCGACAGAGATATCTTATTACCTGCACGTCGCATCGTCAGTAAAGGATTCCCTCTACGGTATACGAGATACGAGGCACAGTACGTACGAATACGTTGGGCCTTTGTAATCGTCCAGTCCTATCAGGTAAGGCCTTGGCCCTCCTTTCTTTATTATTCTGAGAGGTCAAAGGTCAGAGGTCAGACTAGCGGTTCGTATCAAACCCCGCAGATTCCCAGAGGGGGGAGGTTGGCGGGACAAAAACACACCGGGTCCCGCATTGCCTCGTATTTCGACGTCGAAGATCGCTGTCTACTCTGCATTCCAGTTCTTTCGCGACATAGAAGACCGTGTCTGACGGATACGTTTCTACCATCATACGAAGAATCCATGTCCATATTTCCAGATATGCACCAACAGTCCCACAGCGACGGTTGCGTGTGGACGGGGACCACCGATCGCGTCCTCGTAAAAGTCCTCGCTTACTCAAAATGTGTGTACCTCTGCAGGGTCAGATATTGTAGGCCACTTTCCAAAACTCCGAGGTATTCCGGGATTGGACAAAAGAGACGCATTCTGCAACCTCTGCAAATGTCGGCTGGCGATACGACGCACAACAACCCAGCACTACTCCGTAAACACCGAGGCATATGGCGGGCAATTGAGACTTGCCCGATCGGGATGTCGGCGTAGGGCGATTGAGTGGCGGAACCCAAGTCCCACCGGCGGACTAAGAGGATCCGTGCATTCTGGAGAAAGCTCGTGCATACTCGGTCGGTATATCGTATACCTCTATCAAGAGAAACGGCCTCCAAGATCTCTACCTGTGCTTATGGCAATGCGACGAATATTGGCTAAGGACACCTTTCCTCTTGACGATGCTCTTTTTTTGTGAATAATACGACAAGGGTCCATGCCCCAGCTGTGAATTCGTCATGATCCTGTCTCGCACACACGGCATATGGAGATCTGCAAAAGAGCAGAGCATTGCAAAACCCATCTTGACATTATCGCGGCTGGCCCTGCAGTGGTTCGAGGGGCGGATGCTTCGAATATGCACATCACCGCCCAAGAGTGTAAGAATCCTCCTACGTGCAGAGATGTTATTCAGGATGGGACCATTCCCCGGTGTGTGGTGACAAGGCTGTCGCGACACACATGCATAGAGAGCCACTCAGTATCACCACAACGGGAAACCCCTTACTACCTCCGAAAAGATGAATTGAAGGGGCACAAGAATCCATCTGGGGAAACCCCGTTATGTACATTGACTCGGGAAGGTTAGACCAAGCCGGCTCCACATTGTCCCGATCAACTCCCCGCCTATAATTGGTGGCCTTGTCTAGTGGGTCATCTTCGCGGCTAACCTTCCCATGTAAGCTAGATCAGCCCTCGTCGATGTCTCGGTAAAAAGACCTGATTAGGGAATGATTCGTGGCTGTGGTTTTGGCTTTGCCGCTCACTTCGGTGGTGCTCCAATTTCGGTTACGACGAAGCCCAAGCTTGATGTGCGATGCGGCGTACCCACCTTGTTAGTGGCTAACCATCGGCAATACTGGGTACTGCTGGTCCTGGTGTCTTGCGTTATAGAGGTGTTGCTTCCAGATCACAATTTGCCGGCCTGTTCCGACTAATTTTTGCTCCCCTACTACTCGGGCTCCAGTCTCCTTTTCGCCATCGACCACCCAATTCCATGCATCGCCTTCTCATTGGAGCCATATAGCCTGTTCGTTATGCCTCGGCCCAGAATGCCATCAGGCTCGCCCTCTGGGGTCCCCTGGGGCAGCTGAATCAAACATGATAAAGGAGAAGCGGATGCCGCCAACATAGGTAGGCAGCTGTCAAAAAATAGAGGAGAGAAATGGCTTGATTGAGTCTTGTGTTTTGTCTCTCTGATCTCTACCTCCCTGGTGATCTTGTCGTGACCTGATTCTTTTCCCCGTGGATACAATTCACAATGCATGTTCCCACAGCCAAAGAAGGGGAGAACTTTGTCGACGTCCTCATCATCGGCGCCGGCATATCTGGAATCAACGCCGCGTATCGGATCCAGTCCCAACTTCCAGACCACAAATATGTCATCCTCGAAGGCCGGGCTGAGATGGGAGGTACCTGGGACCTGTTTCGATATCCCGGCATCCGCTCCGACTCGGACCTGTTCACCTTTGGCTTCGCCTGGCACCCGTGGAACCAGGACAACCCCATCGCCGAGGCGTCGGCCATCAAGGCGTACATGAACGACTCGGCGCGCATGTTCGGTATCGACCGGCACATCCTGTTCCACCACAAGGTCCTCTCGGCCTCGTACTCGTCCCGCGACAAGCTGTGGACCTTGTCCGTGGAATACAAGGGGGCGGTCACGACCTTTGTGACGAAATTCCTGATCTTCGGCACGGGCTACTACGACTACGAACGGCCGCTCAAGGCCGACATCCCGGGAATCGACCAGTTCCAGGGGCCCGTGGTGCACCCGCAATTCTGGCCCGAGGATCTCGACTATGCGGGCAAGAAGGTGGTCATCATCGGCAGCGGCGCGACGGCCATCACGCTAGTGCCGTCGATGGCCAAGACCGCCGCAAAAGTGACCATGCTGCAACGCAGCCCGTCGTACATCGTCTCCATGACCAACAGGTCCAAGTCCATCTTCGCCTCGGTCCTGCCGGCCAGGGTCATGTCGCTGTTCACGCGGCTCCGGCTGATCGTCAAGTCGCGGCTCTTCTACCTCTTCTGCCGGACCTTCCCACAACTGACCAAGCGCCTCCTCGTGCGCGGCGTGCAGGGACAGATCCCCGAGACCCTGACGGTCGACCCGCACTTCTCGCCCCGGTACAATCCGTGGGACCAGCGCCTGTGCCTCTGCCCAGACGGCGACTTCTTCGCCAGCCTCCGCAGCGGCAAGGCCGAGGTGAAGACGGACGTGATCGACGGCGTGCAGGCCGACGGGATCCGCCTGCGGTCGTCGGGCGAGACGCTGCCCGCGGACATCATCGTGACGGCGACGGGGCTCAAGCTGCGCCTCGGCGGAGGCATCAAGCTCTCCGTCGACGGCGCGCCGTTCGACCTGGCCGGCAAACTGATGTGGCACATGGTGCTGATGCAGGACCTGCCCAACGCGGCCTTCCTGCTCGGCTACACCAACGCGTCGTGGACGCTGGGCGCCGACGCGTCGTCGCTGTTCCTCACCCGCCTGCTCCGCATGATGGACCGCAGGGCCGTCGGCGCCGTCGTCCCGCGCAAGCACGCCGACGCCACCATCCAGCCCCGCAAGTTCCTCGACCTCGACTCCACCTATCTCCAGGCCGCGGAGAAGGACCTCCCCAAGACGGGCGACCGCGGCCCGTGGAAGGCCCGCACGTATTACCTCGCCGATCTGATCTTTTCGAAGTATGGCCGCATAGGGGAGTCGTTGGAGATGGTCAAGGCTAATTGATTCTGTATGAAATGAATTTCTTTTTGGGGGAGTGAAACGGGGAAAGAAATGCTGGCTGGCTGCGTCGAGGATTCTTCGTGTCTGTGTGTACATTGTCACAATTGTTCGTCTGTTGGAAGAGCGACATCTATATCTGGTGGGTATGCGCAAGGCTGAAGTCAACTCGGGGGGGCCGGAAAGGATAGAGGCGCGACGCGACACACACATCGGGCATTTTATAGACCAGCAAAAAAAAATCACATATTATCTCTGAACAATGTTCTGCAAGGTACCGGGCTTCTGCTGATGCCTTCGCTTGACTTACGAGTCGTGAACAGGGTATTAAATTTGACATGATGTATTCCATCTCGCCGTGACCATTACCACGTCCCTTCCACAACTCCAGCATGTCCTTCCTCTTGAGACCTCTGCCAAATGCGCCTTTACACCAGTTACTAACCCAGAAGTATGCGACTGCGCCACCGAGAACAACGAGACACAAATCATTGCTAAACCGCCCACATGCCTTGCTGGACACACACTTAAAAAAAACAATCTTGATTCAGCCTCATTACTCATTCTTCGTTCGGTCGCTGTCCCTCCTTTGCACAAGAGATCTGACTGCTCTCTGTGGGCTACCTCCGTATTACCGAAGGTCCCGTCATCCTGCCGCCTCCGCTCAGGAGACTCTGTCTCACAATCATCTCCGCCGCAGCGGCCGCCGCAAGCCTCTCTTTCTGCCTGCTCCGATCCCTCAAGTACCCGCTTGCCTCGGGTCTCATTCTCAATATCCGCAGTATCATGTCGTCATTCGGTTCCGCTTGAGCGGCTTTCCATTTTTCCTCTTTGGCTTTGCGTTTCGTGCCAAGGTTGCGAGAGAGCAAAATGCTCTTAGCTCGGCGCGCTCCCGCCAGGTTGCCAGGGTCGAGGAGACCGCCTGCACCTAGATGATTGTTCAAGTTGGCAGGGGCAGAAAATCTCGAGCGGTGCATTTGCTGGTTGGAAGCCGTTGCACTGGCCATCCGTTCCGACTCGCGGATGAGAGAGTCTGTCGGCTCAAAATAAAAGAAATTGAGCATTTGCAATTCGTGATACTTTGGGCTCTTCAGCACATTGATCGGCACGCCGTTTGCTTCTCCAGTCTCTTCGTCAACGGCATTGAAAAACTCAAGAAGGGATTGTAGCCACTTGAAGACGATGTCGAGTTCTTGTTGCGTTAGGGCTTTTTGTTGTGAAGGTTTGTCTGAGAGAGGCGGGACAAGGAGAGCCTCCACAGTGACGAGAACTTCTTTCCAAATGCGTGTCATAACTGCAATCATTGCTTCCGATGTCAGCGTTTGTTGCATGATAGCAAAGTTGTCATCGAAGTAGTCGAAAAGCGGCTTCAAGGCGTTGACAATCTCGGCGTCGGTTGGCATTGTTGTTGTGGGAGTTATCGATGCTCGGTTTCGTGCAAAGAATGACGATACATTGGCAGACACATTGGCCATGGAGATGCCCCGACTGAGCAGAGATCTGAGCGCACGTCGCGAGAGACAGTGGTTGATATAGGCCGAAAGTTTATCGGTGATTTTGCGCGTCATGTCTCGCTGTGTCCGTTGAAGACTTCGAAAAGCCTTCCCGAAGTAGAACTGAATGTCGTCCCGCTCTCCTTCCATGCTGACCCTCACCATGACTCGTCCTTGGGTATCCAAGTCCAGCCAGTACTCCCGAGGCAAGAAGTCGCTAAAGTGGGAGGGATCCAGTTTCAGCGAGGTTCTTCCCACATAATCGTGATCGCCCATAGCGTCCCAGTCCCAGATTGTCGCAATGAGATTGAGCGGGCCTTGTGTAGTAATGTCCACGGATTCGTCCCATCGTGGGCTCAGACTTCGATACACTATTCTGCTCTTGAACAATCTCTTCTGGTATTCATCCGTCAAGACAACATAAGGATCACTGAATCCGCTGACATCACAAGCCTTGAGATCTTCGGCTTCCACAATCTTGATAGTGAAAACATAGTTCGATGTCTTCTTGGGCCGTTGCGCTAGTGGCGGACTATATTTTTTGATGACTTCGGCACAAGCATCAACGTTGACCTCGGTCTCTAGTTTGTCCCACTGTTGGATGGCGAACAGGATGTCGTTGAGTTTGACGAATGATTCCGGGTAGAAATTGAAAGGTTCAACCCTCTCTTTTTGATTCCAAGTGTCTTTCGCCAGTTGAACCCATTTCTCCTGTCTTGTTCTGTTGGCGGCAGCTTCTTGTTCCGGAGTTAACCTGTCCATCTCTTTACTGAACATCTGGTCGAGCAATTCACAATACCTCGAAACACCCTGGCCAATAGCCTTTGACAGCGCCGTCATGAACTTCGCGTAACTGAAGTCGTCATCCCAATTTAGTTCGCCGATCTGATTGATGACCTGGTTGAAAGAACTAAAAATGTCGATGACAGAAGTTGAGTGACGTTCGTCCTCGGTGGGCGTCTGGTCCGGTACTTGCGTCCTGACCTTGAACTCATCTTGTTTGACTGCATTCTCCACCCATCCTATGACCTGTGTCTCAGTGGTCTTGATCCATCGCCAGACGAAATCGGCCAGGAGCTCTTCGATCTTGTAGGGGAATGGAACGTGGGGCAAGGCATCAGCGTGGACGCGACGGAACTCGCTCAACTCCTTATACAAATCAAACCCATCCTGAATGGTAACCTCAAATCCGTCTTTCTCGGCCACGCTGAGAATTTGCTCCACCATTGCCTTTGAGTCCTCTGCAAAGGTTGGAAGAGTACAGTTGATCAGTATCATCAAAGGATTGATACCGAGGATTTCTGGGTTCTTTCTGAACCTCTTCTGCACCTTTTCTGCCAGCTTCAACACAGCTTTTGCCAACTGTTGGATGTGATAAAATTCCCACTTTTCATTTTCCTGGGGAAGTTCCCGATCCAGAAGAGAGTCGTATATCTTCCGCGCCTCGGCGGCCAGCCCATCGATGGCAGCATTCTTAAAGTTTTCGAAGTCTTCGGGGTTGTGGTTGAAATTGGGATCGCTTCGGATATGATCATCTACGATTGCCATAATGGCCCCCAACCTTGGTAACTGGGCCTTGTCAGCGTAGGAAGTCATAATAACTTCGTACAGATCTCGAAGTAGAGTCTCGTAGATAGTGTTGAGAAGCCTGCCCATCAAGGCAAAGTCGGCGACGGTCCAATTATTTCGGTCGTATAAGGCCGTACTCATAATCAAGGAACTCCTCTTGTTCTTGTGGTCATCCTGCAATGGCTCCTTGACGTAGTTGAAGGCAGCGTCGAGCATTTCCAGACTGAGTTGATTCTCAATGAATTTCTCGCGGACGACATCCAGAAAGAGGACAATGCGTGTGAATTTGGGTATTCGCCATCTCAAGGCAATTTCATTCAGCAGCTCCGTAGTCTCTTTGGAGAACAAGCGGCCACCTTCCGGGCCGCTGCCGCTGCCATTCATCTTATCGTTAAGGTCATGGTTAAGAGCTTGAAGCATAACAAATCGAAACATGGTTCTGGGGTCAGAGGGTATAAAAGTATAGACTTGGGCCGCATCATCATCATGCTTGAATGAATCGCCCGGGTCCAATTGAAGGGAGCTTAGGTCTGCCGGCAGATCTAAGACGTAAGAAGAAGAGTCCCCAGATTGTGAGAGGGCTCTGGAGAGCTCAGCATAATGAGAATCCGAGGGGCTAGAAGGCTCATTCTGGGCATTGAACTGAGGCAAAGCGCCTCCTGGAGTGCTCTTGGCCAGCTCAGGATTGGATTGGATGATGGCCAGCATCAGCTGCGAAAGGTCTGGACCTTCGCTTCTTTTCCAACTTTCGTATGCTTCCTGAGTGTCAAAGTCGTGGGAATTTAAGGTCAGCTTCGTCCCCAGAGTGAGGTGCTGTTGGTACGTCTTCAGATCTTGAAGAGCAGCCTTTTCTGTCCACACGGGCTTGTTCTTTGTGATGTCTGACTGCATCATGGTATTGGTCAGGCCAAAGATGCGCCCCACCGCCTGAACTAGAGGCATGTCCTTGACTTCATAGCTGAGAGGTACCACCTCCTCGATGGTGGTCCATTCCCCATTGGCTTGCGATGCGGCGAGGTTCTCATCACCCTTCAACAACTTGGACTCGAGAGTCTGCAGCCGAGCAGCCAAGTCGGGTTTGTCCTTAGCCCAGTCACGATCCCTGAGAATCAGGGAAAGAAGGCGAACAAACAAGGCGACATGGCGGTCAACCAAGCGCTTGACAGCGTCATCCCCTGGCGGGTGACCTTTCTGCAACTCCTTGGTCGCCGTGGAGAAGAAGATGAGTACCAGATCCTCAGCCCTCCGGTCCGCCTCCATGCGCTTTTTGAAAACAGGATCGGACAGAGTGTTGAGGAAGAGGGCAAACACCCTCTTGACTACAGGCTCATGGTATTCCTGCCGTCTCTCCTTTCCCATCAGGATGCCTTGCAGTCTCTTTTCCAGCTCTTTAATGAAGTCATGAGGGAACCTTGCACTCTTTGCGTCTCGAACCACTGTGAAATCTTTCATGAGGTCATTGAAGGAGTGGGAAGTGTTCATGCGAGTGACCGCCGGCCTCGTCTCGATATGTTTCTTTCTTGTTTTCCGAGGTTGGAGCAAGTACGACAGATAGGCCACTCGTAGGGCATATAGGTAGGCATCATTAGCGTTGATGGATTTCCGGCGGACCATCGACGAGTCTCTGGAGGCTCTTCCTCCATTTCTGAGACTGTGGACGCTCCGGTTGGGTAGCGGTTTCGAGCGGCTGGAGGAAAGGGACATAGGGCGAGATGGTCATGAATCTGATCTCTGTCTGAAGAAATGGAAGAATTTTGAAGCGAAGCGCTTGATGTCCTCTTCAAAGCCTGTATTTGAGGGGTTTGCGGACAGGTGTATGTGGTAGTTTGAATCAGATCAGCCTGGTTCGCTTGGAGTTGGATTGTGGTTGAGGCTTGGGGGCGGGGGAAATTTGGCGTATGAACTTGTGTGCAGTGACGTGACGATCAGGTCCGTGTCAATTGTGCGTCGAGCTCACTCAGACTGTAGATGTCAACGCTCTGCGCTTTGGCTCCCAGAGTTGCAGAGTGTGCCGTTGACATATCATCCCAACTCAGGAACTAGAATTCACTGAAGGTGTCTTGATGGCGTTCTTAGGACAATCAGAAAGGTTTCAGGGTCGGTCTCCGCGCCCACACGTCGCAGATCCAGGACTGCGGGAGGCGGGCAGTTGCTCGCACGCTCCTACGGCCCGCCAATTACTAGTGGTACGGGTAAAGCTTAAGGGGCCACTGGGGGCATTGTGGCGGCGCCGTGACAGGGAGGGCAATCACCCAAACTGGGCTATCACGTGCTGAATGGGCTTTATTTAGATTCATCACCACCAATGTTCAGTGTGAGCTGCTTGACTAAAGGGGGACACCACAGCTGCAGCTCCAGGAATCCTCAACCCTCGCTCTCCGATCAAGTCACCAATGTGCGTGTATCAGTGAAACAAATAGAAGAATCTCATACCCGTCGTCATTCATGATCACAGCTTTGTCTTTGGGAGCGTGGGTATCACCACACCGAGCACATGTACGTCCACGCCTGAACCGAGGTAGGTGCTTCGGGCCTCCTGTATCCCTCTCATCTGTCTTCCATCAATACTTTGAACTTCATATTTCCTCCAAGTCTACCCTGAAATAGAGCAGCCATGCAGATTAAGGATCGCACCTTCATTGTGAGCGGAGGCTCTTCTGGCCTGGGTCTCGCAACTGTCGTCATCTTCCTCCAAAACGGCGCCAACGTCTCCATTCTCGATCTCAATCCTCCGCCCTCCGACGCCTCCCTTGACCCATCCCGAATTCTTTTCACAAAGACCAATGTCGCGTCTACCGAGTCACTACAAGAGGCGTTAAAGAATACATTAAAATGGATTCAAGGTACCACAAAACCGCTTTCTGGGGTCATCTGCTCTGCAGGCATTGGCTTAGCAGCTCTGGCTCTTCCTAAGCAGGACCCCTCGACGACGCATGAAAGCGTTAAATACATGGATATGTCTGGCTTTGATCGCACCTTGGGTGTCAACCTCCGGGGCACGGTAGACTTGATCCGCCTTAGTCTACCGCACATGGCGCTGAACACACCATGGGGACCCGATGGTGAGCGAGGGATCGTCGTTATAGTCTCGTCCGTGGCGGCATATGAAGGCCAAGTTGGCCAGCTAGCATACAGCGCGAGCAAAGGCGCTGTGCGCAGTATCGTCCTCCCGCTAGCTCGAGAGCTGGGCCGCAAGGCTGGTATCCGAGTAATGGGTATTGCACCAGGTGTTTTCCTGACCGGACTGACCACGCAACCAAAGAAGCAGCAGCCGGAACAAGGACCCAAAAAGGAAGGCGGTGAAAAGCCAAAGCAGAGCACGGGAGCACGAGCAGGGATCAATACCGAAATGATCCAATACCCCATGCGTATGGGAGAGGGCCACGAATTCGCACGGCTTGTGAAAGAGATTGTGGAGAACCCAATGCTGAATGGGTTTGTCATTCGACTTGACGGCGCTGTGAGGATGCCTAGCAGGCTGTAACCTTTTGTCACACCTTTACAGATACGCAGGACGAAGATTCTCCAAAGGAACAATGAAGACATTTGAAAACCCACCCCTTAAGGGCCAAAACACAGCATCCCCAGCACCCTCCTCCCACTACTCCTCCCGCTCCCCCCTTCCCTCTGTCCTCCCCTGGCCACCTCGTCCTTTCTCCTCTCCTTCTCCTTCCTCTTCAGTTCCTTCCTCTCCTCCCGCGTCATCTCGGGCGGCAACCCCTGACTGACCCGCCTCTCGCGTTCCTCCTGCTTCTTGCGCTCCTCCTCCGCGAGCACCTGGCGCTTGAGGGCTTGATACTGCGCGGCCTCGCCCTCGGCCACGCCATCTTTGGCGACGACCCCGTTGCCGACGGAGATGAAGGTCGCCATGCAGTGCTGGCGGAGCGATAGATATACGGCGAGATGGGAGGGTTGAAGAATGGATGGATCGGGAGAGCAAGAGTCCTCTCTCCCCTTGGCCTGTGATCAAGTTCGTATGTGTCGTGGCGATGTAGATTGTTGTAATCGCCGAATCGGCACAAGTGAGACGCAGTGAACGGATATGGTGAGGACAGATATGTGGATGGAGTGTCGACAGGAGTGTAGGTATGTAGGTATGTGGGTAGGCGGTGGAGAATGTCGTCTAAAGTCCTCGGAACTGATGGACGAGATATCTACCTCGTAGATGTGACCCATTTCCTGCCTTTGAGCCATTATCACCTTTCTCCCGTGCGTGCCGTGCCGCCCTGTTCTGCTCTGAGAGTAGTTGGCAAGTTGGTCAGGCGCTGGCAGAGCAACAGGGCGGTGCAATCCGCAAATCCTACCTAGTAGTCTATCGAAGTTCTAGTTTCTGAGGCGGAGTTCGATAGAAATGTGGGGGTGACCCAGCACGGAACACACGTCGTTATTGCGTACAGAATGGCAAGGACATGATCAGGCAAATCATCTAGGTCGTTGCGGGTCTTGTGATACCAATGCTCATATTCTGTGTAACTATCGCAAACACATCTAATACAATATTTTTCGGTGACAAAGGGTTGCGCTGTTGTTGATATTCAAAATTATTCTCTCTTGTCACCCACTCATGGTCGCATTACACCAGATCAGGAAATGGTCGTCGATAATGCGCAGGGCAGTGGTACAATCCCGATGTGTCCTTTCCAGGCTCTGGGATCAAATATTTTTGATGGTAAGCCTCTGCATCATACCACTGCGTCGCTCTCTTGATCTCCGTGGTGATGTTTTTGCCCTTGTACCACTGTTCGCCGACCTTCTTCTTGATCTCCTCGGCAATCTGGAGTTGCTCGTCGTTCTCGGCGAAAATCGCGGAGCGATACTGCGTGCCGGTGTCGGCGCCCTGTCGGTTCAGCGTAGTCGGATCGTGCATCCTGAAGAAGAACTCGCAGAGTTGCCTGTACGAGAGGCGTTCCGGGTCGAAGACGATCAGGAGGGATTCGGCGTGGCCAGTTCGTCCGGAGCAGACTTCGGCATAGCTCGGTGCCTTGGATTGGCCACCGGTGTATCCAACTCTGCAGTCCAAAAGACCCTTGCCGTCGCCGAATGTCTTGCGGTATAACTCCTCCAGACCCCAAAAGCATCCGCCAGCGAAGATGGCTCTCTGTGAGTTGGGAGGGAATTGCATAGCTGCTAGGGCATCGGGTTGGAGGGACATTGATGCCGCAGAGCTCAATGGGCGGAGGAAGCGTGAGAGGAATGATGGCATTTGGAAAGCCATGGTCAGCACGATGACGAGAAGGAGGATGTTGAAGGGGGAGAGGTCGCTGATGTTGAGCTGCAGTTTGCCGACTGTTTGGGTGTTTGAATCTGAGGAAAGTCTTGGTTGAGGAGGGGGATGGCAATATATATGCGAGTTCTGAATCGACCGATTCCAGATGTTCAACGGCGCAAACAGCCTCTTCGGCTGCTTGTCGAAGTTTCTTGTTTCCCAGGGAGGGGGAAGCAGCGGCGACGATTCAAGATCAATCACGTCATTGGAGGAGAGCACCGAGGGATCGGGATGGAGCAGCCGGTGGTGCTGACAGTTTCTTGGAGGCAGTGCTTGGGCGATTGGGCGGGGCATCAAGGCTCAACGGGGGCGCTTGGGGGTACCTAGAGGGCTAATGGCTTAGGCTCACTAGGCGAAGCCCCTCTAGGTTAAATACTGGGGGCACGTCCGTGTGTTTGAGGCATATCATTGCCCGCAATACCTTCCTCAGATGGCGCCAAGCAAGCTCCCCATGTCCCCCTTTGCATGATGATTCCGTTATCAAGCTTCGTCGTGTGTGACAAATACGCTGAGGACTGAGGCTTCTCTATTAGTTGCGTATTCACCACCACAAATACCAGACATAATACGCCCATGAGGTAGTATTGAGCTATCTTCCTCCCTGGTTCCTACTGTCCATTCGTACAACGGCAGCGAATATCCTGCGGAGAACGTGATACAGAAGACGTCTTTGATATCGAAGCCTCCTCACATGCTTCGACCATCAAAATGCAATCTTCTGCAGTGGCAATCTGGTCCCTGAATCACTATCATTCTCGTCCACACTTGTTTTCTGCTCCTCCGTGAATGTACCAGAGCACTTGGCCGACAAACAGCCGATATCACAGGTCAAGTCAAGACCACCCCTCCAATTTCTTCTTCCGGTCTTTGAGTGGCTCGAACAAGGTCTCGATTAGCTGGATCATACCGAGTTAACAGACAGGAACAGGGGCGCAGCAGAACGGAGTCGATCCTTACCCATCGATCTAGATTGGCTTGGTTGTCATACTCCATTTTGAATCTTTCATCGAGTTGATCTGCGACGAGTTTAGCAGATGAGGTGAGTCTGGCAAAGAACTAGTCACGCACCTGAAGTACAATACACCATATCCGCAATCTCTGCACTCTCTCTGATAGTCTGGAGGAACCTTGTCGCGAATTTCGAAGTCCCAATTTGACCAATCATAAACTTCACGCCTGCGCAGGTTCATAGACTCAGTAGCTGACACTAACGAGCTTGGAATACTCATACTTACTTTCGCGGGGATAATTGGCAGCATCCAGCCGCTGGCTGCACTCTACAATGGCATTTTTCAACGTAGGTTCTGGCTCCGGCTCAGGCCCACCATCGGTGAGAATAGAGATGAGCAGTGGTCTCTCGAGCCTCCTCGGCATCGACTCGAGCTTGTCGTAGACAAGCGGCTTCAGGATCTTGGATCTCAGGTTGGTGCCGATATCGGTATTCCCACTATTCGACCACTTCATGGGCCTCAGGATATTGGCAACATCTTCGAGGCTCAGATTCGACGAGTCGGGCACGTCCTGATTGATGAATCGAAGAGCAACGCCTTCACCCTCAGGGAGGACCCGAGTGGTGACCCTGGCAATGCGCTCAACGAGGTTTGTTTGAGAATCCCAACGATCTTCGCGCCTCATGGAGCCGCTGTCATCTATAAGATTTCCGTCAGAAGACAACGTATTTTCAGTGGACTGGACCTCGAGACACTTACCACAATAGATGACTTGTTGATGCAATGACACCTTGATAGTCTTGGGCAAAAGCTCTGGGCTGCCGAGAGATGTCGTCGTGTCATTTTGCAACTCGACAGCATTCTTTGCCACTTCACGGACAAAGTCTTCCTTGCCTTCGAAGAAACGCTCTATGGGGGAGTCCTTGACAACCTCGTCGACCTTTTCCACGAATTCGGCCGTGGTTGGATCCTCGCCACGGTTCACAGCCTACTTTTGCCATCAGCAGACAACCCTTTTGGACCTATGCTGGCGATGAAAGGCGTTGGCACATACCTGGTCCCAGGCCTCGTTGAGGTCGATATGTATACCGTAAGCCCGACGGACGACATCATCGGCGACCTTGTTGACCCATGCAACAACAAATAGGAGTAGTCCGACAACCATGTCGATCAACTTGGAAAAGTCACTCTGCTCCTTTTCTGGGTTGAGGGCGCGGATGACAACCCTGTCGTAAGTATTGTCGGCCAAGAATTTCGCGGTGTGGCCATCATCGTTTGTCAGTGTCACTGATGCTCTGGCCTTTCGGAGTAGCCTGATGGATTCGGCATCCTTCTTCAGCACAACGAACATCAATGGTGTATTGTTTCCGACTGCTGCGGTTGTTGCGTCAATGGCATTGGAAGGCGTCTTCGCCAGGAGCAATTGGATGATGCGAGCACGGTTCTTCTCAGTCCTTGATGCGGCAAGGAGGAGAGGTGTCGCGCCATCTCTGGAGAGAATGTCTGCTTTTGCCCCGCTTTTGAGAAGCAACAGGACCTCGTCGGCGTGTCCTCCTACCGTGGCAGCCCCAAGTGGTGTCAGACCTTCGACCGAGTCTCGCTGGTCGAGAATAGTCCAATCTGCCTCGAGGTACTTTTCGAGCCTTGCTTCGGTCAAAGTCCCTCTGCGAGCATCTTCATGGATACCCATTGTTGTGAGATGTCTGGCTTCCGTCAACCTCGATCGCTCTGCGGTCGAGAAATTTCAAGAGAGGGTTGAAATGAAATAGGACATGTTCAGTTTGAGTATAAATACCGGTCTCTCCTGGTGCAACTATCCCGGGGGAGCCTCCATGCTGCAGCGGAATCCCAAACGGTCCTGGTGCAGTGTTAGCGGAGGAACGAAGATGCCTCACCGGTTACTATGCCCCACATATTCTAGTAACGGCTGACCACCAAATCGTCAATCCCTACGAAGGAGAACAGCACGGCGTGCTTGATAGAGAGACTATCAGGACCTTTGGTGAGGCTCTGAGATAGAAGGGGGCCGGAATTATCGAGCGGGGAAGACATTGGGCTCGCGTGGCTCGAGGCCATAGGCGGGAGAAAAAGGCGACACGTCATCCACCCTGTCGAAAAGAGGCGAGCATGCAGCTGCCCTCTCCCATATTGAGCGATAGAGGAAATTCAAGAACTCCCGAGTGCCCAATACCGGCAGAGAAACAACCCAATGTGTGTGGTGTAATATCTGCAGTTTGATGTCAAGTCGGACCTGGAGCAACGACGAAAAGCCTTGGGTGTCCACACTAGCCCCGAGTCTTTACCTGATTAGGGGTCGCTAACCACATTAGGAAGGCATGGCAACGGACCATGAGACGAGTCTGGCCTCTTCCTCCTCGTTATACCATCCTCAAGCAACATTGAGGAGGGCATCGCGACGCATTTCACATTTCTAAGCATGCTCCACTACCTGACTGACCGGTTTGCTTTGGACCAAACAAAAGATACTCGGCATTCATGAGGTCGAGACCAAAAACCAGCGAGGCATCTTTCATTGGTGATATGGTTTCCCATACTTCTTGTACTCGGGGTCCTGATGGTGGCTGTGCCCCTCCTCATCCTTTTTCCCTTTGATGACTGCAAAGCATCTCCGCAACCTGTCAGTTAGCTCGGAGATACAAAGAGGGCGAGAGCTGCGTAGGAGGGTGCGGCTGCATGGCCAGGACGGTCAAATAGCCAATAGTGGTCTACTCGGATCATGGAACTCTGTCAGAGGTCGAGGCGACGAACCTCTTTTATCTTACATCTAACACGGATGCGAACACTCGCTCAAGGCTGTCCCTCTCGCCTCTATCCCAATACTGATCATCATGGACCGAGCAATTGAGATCTTGAGGTCCGCAAATATTCCAGTGTTCAGCCCTGGCGGTCCGAAAAAGGGGGAAGAGGAGTATGAACGCTCTGTGGCAACCCCGAACCTGCTGTACCGCTTCTCGAGGCCTGACTGTGTGATACAGCCCGAGAATGCCGCCCAGGTGCAGGCCATCATCAAACAGGCGAAGTCGAGGAGGCTTAAAGTCACCATCAAGTGTGCGGGTCATTCGTACGCCGGACACTCGACCGCATTCCGGGGCATCTCGCTCGACCTGAGGAGGATGAAGAACGTTAAGCTCGACGCAAATTTGGAGACTGTCACAATGGAGTCCGGCTGTCAGTGGGGCGACGTGTACAAGACGCTGATCAATAACAGACGCAAAGGCAACGGCCTCATAATCAACGGAGGGAGATGTCCGCCCGTGGGCGTGAGTGGGTTCATCATGGGCGGCGGGCTTGGTCCTTTTACCAGAAGCTTCGGGATGGGCAGTGATACCTTGATGGAAGCCACTGTAGTGACGGCGGACGGAGACCAGGTTACCGTCCACGAAAATCATCCACGGGATTCGCGGGAAGGGATGCTCTTCTGGGCACTCCGTGGCGCTGGGGGCGGGAACTTTGGCGTCCTGGTGAGCATGAAGCTGAAGGTTCAGCGACCGTCGAACCGCGACGGCGTCGTGGTGGCTGGACGCTACCAATGGTTCCCCGATGCCGAGAACATGGCCTCGTTGATCCCCACCATGAACGCCTTCTACACGACCGACTGGCCCAAGAAGATCACGATCGACAGCACCTGGCTGTGCGACCTCCGCCAGAACACGGGCGACGGGATCCGGTTCCTGACGTACTTTGATGGGAACAAGAACGAGTTCAACAACCTGATCGACAAGCACATTAAGCACGCCGACCTGGCAAAGCAACTGAAAAGACGCTCCCTACCGGAGGAGTCGACGCGGTTTCTGCACGAGACGCTCGTGGCCCAGTGGTCCGAAGAGACGGTGCGGTCCTTCCCGACCAACAAGACGTACAGTATCTACAGCTCGTTCGTCTTCACCAACGACGCGACCACGATCGAGAACCTGACGGCCATCATCAAGAAGGAGATGGAGACGTTCCGGCGGCTTTACTCGGGCGAGAAGGTCGAGTTTCTCGTAACCTGGATCCACTCCGGCGGCAAGGCCATGGAGAAGCAACCGTCGGAGACGGCCTTCTTCTGGCGCCAGGCCGTCTACCACGCCTACGTCACGCTCGAATGGGAGGACAAGTGGATGGAGCGGGACATGCGAGGCTTCCTCGGCAAGGTCAAGAAGGAACTGCGCCCCTACTCGCTCGGGAAGCAAGCCGCCTTTGTCAACTTCCCCGACGGCATCCTCGCCAAGGGCGTGCACGAGAGGGCCTATTTCGGCGACAACCGCCACGAGTTGCGCCGGGTCAAGGAGCTCTGGGACGAGGACAACTTCTTCGACTGGGACCAGGGCGTCCAGCTTCCCGGCCAGGCGGTCGACGATCCCGACGCCGACGTCGACATGTTGAACGACGAGGACTTTACGGATTCGATCGCACGGGAGCAGTGGAAGGTCTACGAGAGCAAACATGTCATGGCGGACCTCGATGACTTGACCAAAGGGGGCTTTTGACGAGCGAGAGGTTTGCTTGTTTTCACTTGGACGGTGTGACTGACAGGGATAGTTCAATCCTCTATGCCAATCGATGATGATTGAACACTACACAGAATGCACGTCCGAGAATGTCTTCGACAACCAGTCAATTCTTCCAGGCTCAATCTCAGTTCAGTGAAATAGTCTGACGCTGAAGCAGCAAAAGTCCGAAACAGGGACAAAGCTTCTCGCATTGAATAGCATCGTCTCTCCACACGGTTTGCACAGGAAATAAATCAGCTCGCAACCCTCGGTCAGACGGCGCAGAGGCGTCTAATAAACAGGAGCAACAGAAGCCCTTCGTCTCTGGTCGAGGAGGTCCGAGTAGTCAAGGATCGAGGCCACAGACTCTCTCCAACTGCCCGAGTCCAAGACGAATTGCATCCAGGAACCAAAAAATCAACCCCGTTCATGATAATCCTCATTTTGATATCGTCCCGGCCATACCATTTGCCCCCATCCAGTCCGTGTCCAAGACCTGTACTCCAATGTCCAGTTTTCAGCCTCTGCTTCTGGTCGCAGTTTCAACCACAAGTCTATAACACAAAAGTGCAAGAAATGACTGGCCCCTTTAACAGTGACCGCCTCGCAGGGTGTTTTCATCAACGCCACACAGCTTTCCCAGTAGGCATTAAACTTCCTCTGCTGCTCGAATGTCCGTGAGCACTTGCCCCCGAAACGACAGAAGAGAGCCTAATCCCACCCCCACGTTCGGGGCCTCCCATCGTCGTCCGCCTAATAGGATTAGATGGTGCCACAAGGGAGCTCTTACCATGGCTAACAATGCCTTGAACCCGGGGACTCAGCACCCCGATCTTCCAAGACCCTGCGTCGTTCTCTTTTAAGAGCTCGTTCTTTGTGCCATGAACCATTCTCCTAACATGGCCGGCACCGAACATCGACTCGTTGGTGGGAGACCCAGCGACTCCCGCCGTTGCTGCGGTGGGCGAGCGGCGACGTTGAGTCCGAGATCCGTGGATACCTGAGCGGCGAAGGGAAGAAGAGCGTTTTACGGCTTCGCGAATCTTGAGCGCGTCCTCTTTATCAGAGGCAGAGCTATTCTGGTTTTCGGTGTCCGAGTTCGACGCTGGGGAAATATGACAAGTGTCATGGCATGCATCTGGGGTGTCATTGCTAGGCTGCAGGGGAGTGAAAGAGCGACGGTTCGACGCCTTACTCGGATCGATTTCCCTCAGCGGTGAGGCCTCGCTATCTGAGGATGACAGTGGTGTCATCTTCGGGGGCAGCATGCTTGAGTTGAGGGGAGAGCCATCATATTTCTTGGACAGAAACCCGGCCTGGAAACGACTGCTCTTCGGCTGAATGTTGAGAGTGGCTTCAGGCGGAGGTGGGATGGGCGAGGAACTGGGAGAGTGTGTCTGCAGTTTCGAAAAGGACGAGGTCAGGTCTGACACCTGAGGGATGCTGATTTCGGTGGTCGATTCATCCGATGACGGAACCTTCTGCGGTGTCTTCTCAAACTCCGCGAGTGCACCGTCCTCAATGTCGTCTTTCCATCGCACAGCTCGTTTAACGCCCTTGGGAGGAATCTTTCTCTTCTTCGGAGTGAAGGATAGTTGGACACCCTTCTTTGCGCTTCCCAGTAGACCACGACGTCTTGGCGAGGCTCTGGCTGGAGATGTCATCAGATGAGTAGCCATGACCGCCGGAGGCTTGATCACTCTCACAGGGCTCCCGTCCAGGATGGAGTTGTTGATGCTCTGTTTGCGTCGTTTGGGGGTGCCAGCCTTGGTCGGCCCAAATGCCTCGACAGGAGCAAGACTTCCATCTGGTCTCACGACATATGATGCTGCGCCAGATGCGGAGTTGATCATCTTTCCCAAAATCTGGTTGGCAGCTTCAACTGCCTCCTCGACGCTCATGCGGTTCAAGCTCTCGATGGCAGCGATAGTCTCAAAGTGGGCTCGTAGCAGAACTTGAATGGTGGGAGCGTCTCCGTTTTTGTCTTGCTCGGCCAAAGCTGCAAACGACTCACGCTCAGCATTCAGCTTGAGCATTTCCACTTCGCGTCGAAGCATTTCGGAATCAATCATGTCGCCAGTGTCCACGTCCTTCAGCTGCTTCAAACTATGCTCCAGTGCCGTGTTCATGGGGCGATCCCAGCTGCTCTTGAGGACCTTCTGCTGGCAGTGGTGTCGACCGCTCTCCAACTCCATCATGATGCCTTGAGCTGTCTTCTTGACGGCCTGCATATTCTTCATGAGGTCGTCTTCGTCCAGGCCATCACACACTGCATCAAAGGCAGAAATCCATGAAGAGAGCATGGCAATCCTTCGGCCAATTTGCTTCAGCTTGATCATGTTGTTGGTCCGTTCTTGTCTCTCGGCCGCAGAATTCTCGTACGCCGCTTTGATTCTTTGGACTCCTTCTCGGGCAATGCTTTCCTTCTTCTCATTCTGCTTCTTGAACTTGGCAAAAGCAAACGTCTCGGCCTCCTTCAGTTGAGCCTTTAGTTCGTTAATCTGAGCCATCTGTTCATCGATCTTGACCAGGTAATCCTTGACATGACGATTGACATTGTACACGTTTCTGGTCACCTTTGTCTGGATATTTTTGGCTCGGTTGGCATACCGTAAAGTGTTTTGCGTTTCGTCAAAATGCGCACTTGAAGGGCTGACGCAAACAATCATTACAGTCTTGCAGTTCCCGCCTAGAGAAAACTTGAGCAGACGCGTGAGTTTGGAATTCCTGTAAGGAACGTGATTTCGTTTGCGGGGGTCGCAAAGGGCGTTGATACAACTGCCCAGTGCCAGAAGAGACTTGTTGATGTTGGCGCCTTCAAGTAGTCGTTCGCCTCGATTTTTGGTGGCACTTGCACGCTCGCTCCCGGCGAGGTCGATTATGCTCAAAGTAGCCATTGTATGAGGCTCCTCGACACCGGCATTTCTGTCTTTCTGGGCAACGTTGATCTGCAGCACGGCGTGCGAGCGGGAAGAAGTTGCGTTGGCTTCTGTGGGCGACATTGTCCGCATTTCATTCCCTCTCACAATCATCTCCATGACCTCTTCAACACTTTGTGGGTGATGGCTCGAGAGCCCTGCAACCGAGACGGCTTGATTTGAATCCTCTCTCAACATCAACCCGCCTCTGACGGTGCTAGGCACGAGCAGATCACGGATGGTTTCATTGTAAATCTCCAGGTATGATAACGATATCTCTGTAATCTTTTCGCTGGACTGCTCTTGGACCCTCTCAAATAGCTCCTTCATCGCTGAGAAGATGATGCCCGGTTCTTGAGCGGTGCCAGTAATAGTGTGAGTCTTTCCGCAACCCGTTGCGCCATAAGCGAAGACTGTTGCATTATATCCGTCCAAGACACTATCTAGCAAAGGTCTTGTGGTGGCTTCGTAAACTTCGCCCTGAGATGCATTTTCGTCGAAGATTCGATCGAAGCCAAAAGTCTGGTCTTTGACTCGTTTACCGGAGGGAATGACGGATCGTGAGAATTTCTGAACAGGATTGTCTTCGGGGGGGTCGAATATCCTGAAGGAGTAAGTCAGCCTGTTGAAAGATTCCATCGAAAGGCGGGCGGCACATACAAACACTTTTCATCGACGACTTTGATGACGGACCGGATGCCCTTTTGAGAGAGCTTTGGAGTCGGGGCAGCAGCCAGCGAACCGTCACCCAGAAATATTGTTGTGTCATCGCATTTCGTCAATTGAGCGGCTTCTCGGATAGTGAACGGTCTCACTCGAACAGTGACAGAAATTGAAGAGGCGCCGTCAGAGGCCATTGTGGCAGTATGAGCTGCTTGAGATGCTTGATTACACCCAAACGGAGCTCATCAGGACACGTCTAAGATAGAGTGGGAGGCGAAGCAATCTACCAAGAATGGTATGAATAGTGAGGCTCGTAGATAGGAGAGCGCAGGCCAGATACAGTGGTCGAGACCGTGGCTTGCTGAAGGTGTGTGTGGAGAGCCGTGACTTGAACTGTAGTGTACGAGTTACGCTTTGAGATTCATTGTTGCGACTTTGGCCCAATCCGAGTTAGTTGTCTTGGCGGGTTTGGTTGTCCAAGCAACGTTCTGATCACGTGTACCTTGACTGCTGCCCAACTTGCAGTAGAATAACCCACCTGTTCGTTCCATCATTATCATTCTTTCTTCCTTACCTGAAGGTTGACAGTCTGTTAGACATGGCCAGTTCTGATGAGATGCGCCTGATTTGATTCTGGATTTGTCCACCTCAAAGAGGTCTGGTTGGGGTGCCAGTTGTCTACTGTTTGATGACCAACCTCTATTCTGCTGCTCAACAATACAAACCAACAAGTACAGCGACAAATGATCACAAGGTTTGTGTATCTTCAAATGTCTTCTAGGCATGAGATGTGGACACAGGTGACACTGCCAGAATCGGCGAGGGTTGCCAGTTTGGTTCCTGCATTATGTCGCTTCAGCATGCGGCTATTCACGGCTCAAACTCAGCCGATAAGACCCACCAGTTCCTCTATCTCGAAGGGCGCGTGGAGATGGGCGGCGAGATTGGCGACTGACGTACCTATCTACAATGCGGGATACCAGGTGACCATTACTCACTGCCACTACTCCCACTCCCCTCTATCTTGATTAGCCCACTGTTGCTATCATTTATTGAAATGAGTTTGTACATCCATTCATGATTTCCTCCCACTCCTGTCCCTACTTTGCACTCCCTCTCAATCCTCAGAATGGACCTCTACTTGTATAGCAGATTGACGTCACGAATACCTCCGAGACAGATCCTCTTCATACAGTCCATCCCTGCTCTTTCTGTGTGTTCGCGGCACGAAACACGCCTACGAGGTCATGATTATTGTATAGAAAACAAGGGCTACCGACAGATACAACAACGTCAACATCGCAAAGCGCATACACGGCGCAACATTACATCTACAGCATACGATGCTGTCGAGACCGACACTCACACCTTAGACATGCGCTCACCAAGACCGTTGGCATGCGTGCCCTTAAATTCCTTGCTGCGGTCGTATTTCATCACCTCAATATCATCCGTTCCATTTCTACTTCGTCCCTCGTTGGTCGCCATGACCTTCCTTGCTCACACGAAGTCGCCTCTATTCAACCCTGACCGCAATCCGATTCTTCACTCGCTTCTCAAGCACACCTTCTACGCCCAATTCTGTGCTGGCGAGACGCCATCAGAGGTCCGAAGGACAATTTCAGATTTGAAGAGGACCGGCTTCGAGGGGGTTATATTGGGTCACGCAAAAGAGGTGGTCCTGAGTAAAGAAGAGGCCGAGGGATTGGTGGTTCCCAAGAACGCTTCAGAACAAGCACACGTTGATGCTGAGGAGATTGCCACGTGGAGACAGAACACCATCGACACGGTGGATCTCGCTCAGCAGGGCGACTTTGTTGCACTGAAATTCACGGGAGCTGGACGTCAAGCCCTTCGACATCTCAAGGCGACCATTGCGTGTTCACCAGAGTTCGAGGAGGCTGTACATGATATCTGCAAACGAGCTCAAGAGAAAGGGGTCAAACTTCTGTTTGATGCCGAACAGGCATCGTTGCAACAAGGCATCGACAATTGGACAATGTACTTTGCAAAGCGGTACAACCGCGAACAAGCATTGGTATACGGCACCTACCAGGCGTATGCTAAAAAGACGCCACAAAATCTGGCACGGCATCTTGAGCTAGCTCGAACAGAAGGCTTCGTGCTCGGGGTGAAGCTGGTGCGAGGAGCCTACATGGGAAGTGATCCTCGCGAGCTGTTCTGGCCCACCATCGACGAGACCCACAATTGCTACAACGGCATCGCGAGGAGCATCCTGCAACGGCGATACCAGGGCATCCTGCAGCCTGTGGAGGGAGGATCCACGGAATTCCCTCGGGTTGCTCTCGTGCTCGCCACCCACAACGCTGAATCGGTCAGACTAGCCAGCGAACTTCGAGATGAGCAAGCTCGTACTGGCGAGCCCCGGATCGAACTGGCATATGGCCAACTGATGGGGATGGCGGACAACGTCAGCTACGAGGTGGTACAGCGGGCAAGGACCCGTTTAGCGTCGCACGACAGCAACCACAGCGTGGAGGTTCCCAAGGCATATAAATACTTGGTTTGGGGCAAGATGGGGGAGTGTATGAAATATCTCCTTCGCCGTGCCCACGAAAATCGAGATGCTATGACCAGGACAATCGAGGCAAGACGGGCATTGGGTCGGGAGTTGGGCATCAGGATGGCGTTCTGGCGCTCACCGAGACAAGACTCTACGATTGGAAGATGAAGCGAAGAAATATGGATCAGCTCCAGTTGGCACATGTGATAACTCTGTAGGTTCCGGCGGGCTTGACGAGCAGCTTGTCCGCTATGGTGTTTTGTCTCCCTTTGGCCCTTATCTGCAAGTTTGTATTATCAAAATGCTGAGATCCAGAAGGCCATGGACCACAGACCATGAACCAACGGGTCTGAGGGGTGGTTTCTCCCACTGTGGAGCAATGGTTGGAGGTGGCCAGACATACAAATGAGACGAGATTCCCACCAGGACTGGGAGGAGCAAACAAATTCCCACATATTCCGCGTTGAAAGCAAAATATCTAAAGGAACCCAGTCCATCGAACTATCTTGATATCTTTTGAAGAAAGAAAAAAAAACTATCAAAATCAGCTCTTTTATCTTGGTTCGGGTAGCTGCTGCTTGACGCGAAACCTGAGCTGCCGTCTCTGGTTCTGTAGCGGGAGCCTTCCTTGACTTCTTTGTTTCCCCCAGGCATCCAAAGTGAAGTGGCGACAGGAAACACACAGTCTTGTTTACTGCCTTGGGCTTCAGGAGAAGAAGCTCTATTGACGCTTCACGCTTCACCCCCCCAAGTGCCCTGCCTTTGTGCCGCACCCCCTTCAGAGTTGTTGAGACACATCTCCTGCTCTCCTCCTCCCTCTTTCACCATGATGCTCTCCAGATATTCCTCCTCCTCTACCACCTCTAGCCCAACCTGGCGCAGCCTCGGCCACCCCTCTCACCATCCAATCTATTCTCCTTCTCTCATCTACAGTGACGCCAGTAGTGAAGACTCTGAAGTTGGTCCCTCCCTACCCTTGAACACACCCATCCTTTGTCCTTTCCCCCCCAAACCCCTCGTCCCCCTCCAGCTGCTGCGCGAGGCGAAAAAGACGAACCCGTGCTAATCAGGCATCAACACAGGACATGATGGCAATCGGAAACGACCCTCTCCATGTCAGCGACATTATGGCGGATGCCCTGAGCCACTTGAATCGGGTTGTGGAGCATGTAAGGAACGGCTGTTCCCATGTGCAGCGCGCTGGACTAATCATGGAACAAGCTGCGAGGCGAGGGTGAAAATGAAGCAGCGAATGGCATCGCACGAGACGTCCACTCCATGCTTGACACGTTCAATCAGACCACGGCTCCTTGGTCTATTGAGAAATTCCGCATGAACTCTATCCCTGTTGCCAAAGCTCAACTCCTCCCTCAAAATGGCAACGCAGGTCGTCCTGCTGCAAGATCCAATACTTCATCCACTTGGGCAGCGGTTGCTGCAACCGACATCCCAAGCAACAATCGTTTGGTCAAGTTTGGACCGTCTGACGGATTAAAGCGACACATCACCGAGCAAGCCTCGAACCAGGGTCAATGCGGTCCATCGCGGGAGGAGGACTTCCGCTGCATCTGGATCTATGGCTGGTCCAAAGATAAGCCCTTGAGCATGGTGACGGAACGGATTAGCACTGGTGCCATCTTTTCCATGGCATACGTGGAGCAATATGAGGCCGTTTGTGTCATCTTCCAGTACGCCGGCGCCGCCATGGTTTTCATGAACGAGGAAGTCGAAGCCGTTCATGACTATGGCTGTGGCTTGTTTGGAAAAGGCCATGAGGTCAAGTATGGCGAGGCCTATCCCGAGAACGAGGACCTTGCTCGTATGCAACCTCCGACCAACGAGCGTCGTCGCTTGACCTTTGCTCGTCAACAACTCTTCACCAACGGCTTGACTGAAGAGAGATTTAGGAGGGACTTGGTTGAACTTGTCGGTCGACATAATGTCGAGTTGGTATGGTTGTTTAACACCGGTAATGGTAAGTCGGCACCCCCTTCCCCTACCTCGTCATCGCTCTGACTTCTATTGCTCTAGCTACTGCGGTCTTTTCGTCTACCGTCATTGCCCGCATTGTCCGAGAGGAATTTCTTCGTCGATCGAGGAGGCCAGGACCCTACCAAGAGGTCCAGGTTGGGTTCTCTCATGATCCTTGCGAACGGCCCATGAACTTGATCACCCAAATTCCTTATCCCGGAACCGGTCCCCGAGATCGCAGTAACAGTGGGAAATCTGGATCAAGTGGCCGTTCTTACAACCCGAATATTGCAAAATTTGTTCCAGGTGTTGGTACCCGTGCCAGGAAAGGGACCGACTCGGATGGCTGGCAGACTGTCCAACGCCGTCGCTAAACCACGAGGTCGCTTTTTCCTTTGTCTACTCGGATACTCATTCTTTTGTGAACCTTTTCTTTTTTCTACACAGATTGTCGGGAGAATGGAAAACCGCAGGCATATGGGATAGCGCAATGCATTGCTCTCAAGGGTATACTGCAGGTCATTTGAGGGGTGAAGCATAGCGAAGCGAAGGCGACATGGTGCACAGACAGGGCATTTGCTCATCGGGGACATCTGGACATGGGCATATCAGCACATTGATACATACAGGACAGCTGGCATGGATGCTGGAATGGACGACAGCACGTTCGAAGGCATGGTGTATGGTTGCTTTCCCTCTCTCCCACCACTTGTATGCATCCGAATTTGGCAGGGTCAAGAACCCAGAAGGTACCAGAACGTTGTTACTTTTCCTTGTCTCTGTAGTTTGTCCTCTTTTCCTTTCATCTGCAACTCTCTATGGTCTCTAGGCTTCCTTGTAAGGAGCTAAAGCACCTTTTGGTCTTCCACCTTGAGATTGGACGCCGGCAGTCCTCGTATCTAACCATGTAGCCATCTAGGCATCATGTCCCGTCAGTCTTGCAATTGCCAACGTTGATCATCTCCGGCCAGCCTCCGCCCCACTCTGCTTGTGTATCTCCATGACTCCCTATTCGCATTTATATCTGGTGGGAAGATGTACTCCCTTGTCGGCATAGGGTAGGGTAGTGTAGAGTAGTTCGGAGTAGTGTGGCGTTGTCATGATCAAGTTTGACGGTAGAGGTTTGCCACGACATGACATGGCATGGAACGACACGGCACGGCACGACGGATCTGCTGGTAGTGTGGATTGTGTAGTGTGGTGTAGTGTGCCTTTGATATCGACGCTACTGGGTCGGGTCAAATCGAATCAAGTCGACGACTCGACGCAGGCAAAAGGACGGTTGGGTCGATGAGACAACGCAAGAACGACAAGAGTCTTGACTCCTCTGAAACATTACCTCGCTTTAGCGTGGTGGTGCGAGATGTGACAGATGGAGATGTCGGAGGTTTCGTCAGGTCGGGTAGGGCAGGATACGGTAAGGGGCAGAGAAGAGAGAGTGTGTGTGCGTGGGTGTGTTGGTCGTAAAGGGTCTGTATGTCTTTGATCTCTGTGCCTGAAGTTGGAGAGACCTGTTTGTTCGATATGATACATATATTCTGGTCTCCTAAAGGGCATGTAGTGTCTTCGTAGGTGCTGGCTACTTTCTGATTCACTTCGGTGTGTACTGCATACACACAAACACACTCACCCCCTCCCTCGCTCACTCAACGTCTAGTATATTCCCCTATTACTTTTCCTTCGGTGATCCTCTTCTCTCACAGCACGCGCACACAAACATACACATAAAGAGAAGGGGAAAGGATAAACGTCGCAGGTCGAAGCAACTGGTCACTGGAGCCGAACACGACGCCCTTCTCTTATCTGTCCATGTCCATGTCACGGGCAACAGTTTCCTACCAGCCAGCGAGCCAGAGCCGGAGGCCGAGCGGAAATTCCTATTCTCCTCGTCACGAGCTCTCTTCGGGTCCCTCCCTCGCCTCCACGAAGCAGTCCCAAACCATCATGCGTTTCGCGTGAGTCGAGTGCGTCGGTCAAAGAAGTGGACTGGGAAGCGGAGATGGTAGCAGCACCACGATGATACATTCCATACTGTGGGGCTTTCTACCACTTTTGATGTCCTTGATATGTGATGTTCAGTTGTTCTGGGAGGGACATTTTGTGAGGTATGGTGTGGTGTCATATGTTGCACAAGTACAAGTAAAGGGGACTGGGACTGAGGCACAAGGCAACAGACTGGGGACGAAAGAGAATAGAAAGAGAAAAAGTAAGAGAAGGGGAAACCTCGTATAGATCGCTTTTCTCGGAGTTCTCAGGAAAATTCATTATCCGTGTTATGTATGCGGTATGGACATACTGCCTCTACCTCTCTTCGCATTCCACCTCTGTCCACTCTCTGCCTCAGTACAGTTTTGGTCCCGAAGCTCATTCCTCATGACGGATTCCTCTCCATGGCCTCCTTCAAAGCCATTCTATCCTGGTTCAGGGCTGTATGCGTAATGTAGTGCCCACGACTGCTTTTCATCCCAGCCCGGCAGAAAACCCGCGACAGATCTACCTGTATGATCCGATCACCTCTCCCTACGCGACGACGACGGCCCAGCCACTATCCAACCGTTCAGATCGTCTCCTCTCCTCTCCTCTCGTCTCCTCGTCTCCTGGCCACTTCCGATGCCGTGGTTCATTGTTACTCGGCCTAGACAGGCGGCGGTTCAACGTGGATAACACTCAGTAGTGGGTTGTTGCAACTCTCTTCAACACCGGCGTATTGCCCTGCCAAGGGTCAAGAGACGTGCCCCAGGGAAATACAGGGGCAGTTAAAACGCTCGCAAGGCTGATCTTTCTGGAAATATCGGGCGTAGACCCGGGAATTCTGCAGCCATGTCACTCGCGATCAGGACGAGGGTGATGCCGCCCTGTACTCGCCCTGGTCGCTCGGGTGAACCTTGGCTGGTAGGTCGACGCCCAACGCTCAACGCCCAACGCACTGGTGGTGGCCCTGCAGCTTCACAAAGCAGCCTTGCCTTGCTTGCCCGATACTTTGTAAGAACAAGCACAAATACTACTGGCAGCCTCACCGAGGAAGCCAGCTGCTCCTCATTCCATGTACAAATACGAGGTAGAGGGTGTGTCGGGGTCGCCTAAATGCCTGTATACAGAGTCTCGTCCTGGTTTCAGCCTGATTGCCCTCATGGTTTTTTGGAGATTAGAGAAACCCTATTATTATTGGTCGGACTAAACAGCGTCACACCACATAATGGTGCCACTTTACCCCGCCAGCTGTCCGCTAGGACACAAATGACGTGCCAAGGTTCGAAATATGGGATTTTGGCATGCGCTGGAGCCGGACCTTACAGCCTCACAACCGCCCTTATATAGCATCGCTTTCTGAGGCTTTGCTATTGGTAACATTGCCCAGGGAACGACCCATATCACATCAGCCACTGTGCTTGCACTCTCGAGAAACCGCTCCTTGCTCGGCTACCGTGGCCAGCTGCTTGTTCTGCCCCCCTTTGCCCAAAAGTTAAGGGTACGAACTTATCGGCCGGGATATGAGCGCTACGCGAGGCTCATTTGTCTCTTCCCCCTGGGTTTATATACGAACCGCAGCGCCAAAGTCTCTCAGCCTGATCTTTTCTTCACTCCGTGTAGAATGCATTTCGATCATAGGTTGCGGCCCGATCGCTACGCTGACGAGCATCTGTCCGACGACGAGCTGCAGAAACCCCTTGGTACTCGTTCAGACCACCGATCAAGGTCAAATTATACAAAAGTTTTCGCTTGGCTCTTTTCGACTGTGAGCTACTATTGTCGCAGGCCGGCAAGTAAACAGGAATTCTGCGAGAAAGAAGAATCGCGATCAACGCGAGACATGGTATGTTTGTCTCTTCTTCCGAAAAGCTACTCTGACGCCATGTTATCAGGGAATAGACGTCTCGGTCAACGGTGTGGGGAAATGGGTTGAGGTGCCTAACGGAGAGATAAATGTCGCCGATATCGACTGTATCATCATCTCACAGCAGCTGGCTCTCGACTTGGTGCGTTCACCCCAACAATACGAGGAGAAGCTCAAACCTCTCGAGCGACCTCACACAGTGAACATCGACGGCGGTATGGTGCAGTGTCATGGCAAACTCAGAGCAGTCTGGCGTTGGGTGGGTGGGCCGTACTCGCACGAGGCCGATCTTTTCGTTACTTCTGAGCTCAACGGTCGATGTAAATTTTTGCTGCCACCATTACAGGAGAGGTCGTCAGAGGTGATTCCATCGCTAAAGCCTCTTTACAGCGTTGTGCTGACTGATGGTGATTTCTACTCATCCTGACCATTAATTTCACCACGGTGGCTGACTTGTATGCAGAAGAGGTGAAACGACAGAAGGAGCACAACGACCAGGCGAACACCGCTCACCACGACGTTGTGGAGGCGTCGAGCAAACGCAAGTCCGAAAAGTTCGCAGCGCTGATCAAGGGCAATGAAAACACTCAAGGCCAGCAACATCAAGGCCAGTCTTCCTCTGCGCAAAGCGTTGGCACAACAACATGAAGCTCTTGAAGGAACTTTTTTTTTTGATTGGAATTCTCTTGGTTATTGACAACGGCCGAATCCGTTTTAAGTTGACAAAGAATCTGCTGCGTTACATGATGGATCTGTTGTAGGGCTAGTAATCTGATACGTCATGAAATCTGGTCTTTCAATCTCTAAACTATGATTTCGTACGGGTGATCAGACCAGCGAACCTTTCCGCCGATGACACAAAAATGAAATACGTGAACGACGGCGATCGTTTTGGACTTTGACTGCTAAGGTGTCACTGGTGTTCAAATTAACTTTCCCCGAAGCCGCGCCGCCGCCGTTGCGCCATCTTAGCTATCAGATCCTATTATCAGATCCCTAACCTAGTATAAAAAAACAAAAGAAAAACTTTGACCATCATCAGGCCGGTTGTGGCTGGGTTCCGACCACAAAATTCACACCACCGACGAACACGACCTGAACGGCAGCAAAGGCCGTCGTGGCGGCGAAGACTTCGTATCGGCGACCTTGTGCCACGAAGCTCATGATCAGCGAGAACAAGGTGCTCAGGGCGATGATGACCAGCAGCCGAGCAAGCATATTTTGGATATAGTAGAGGGCAACGATGGAGATGGACGGAATGACCGACGAAAGCACGGTGCAGATAACATTCCCTACAGCCGCGAAGTGACCATCGTCGTACCAGTATCGCGGCCCAATGGACCCATCATCAATCCTTGGATGAATGCGATGGCCAATTTTGCTGTGATATAGCGGCATTATGGTGTTACCCACCCAGGCCGCAAAACGGTCTCTCCGCTTGTTCACAGCCATGAGGTCTCTGGCTTGCTGGGGATCCCACGCTCTGGCCTCGGCGTCCGAGTGCTTTTTGAGAAAGTTATTGCCTCCTCTTTCACTCTCGAGCCAAGTGCACAGGAAATCCATGTCGCACCGATCAGGCTGGGGAAGCTTGAGCACGCCAGATGTGTGTGTGACAAATTGATCTTTGGCGAGTGAATCAGCAAAACTCGCAAGGAACTCGTGGGATAGATGCAGACAGGGTGGGCGCCTCGACGTACAATATCTCAGAAGCTTCTTCTCGGCATCTTCAATCAATTCTTTCCGGATGCTCCGTTTCCCCTGGGCGATTGATGCATTCGCCTTGGCCCAAGACTTTGCATGCGCTTGTTGTTCGGGGTCGGTTTTCTCGGCTGCTCTGAGGAAGTTGAGGTCGTGGTCTAGTTCAAGGAGTTCGGCCTGTAGATGGAGCAGGACTTGTGACGCCAGGGGCCCGAAGCGGCGGAGGATGATGAGGTCTGGATATGCGCCCAGCAGGTTTGAAAGCTCGTCGTAGCTTACCATTCTTTGGAGTGACCTAGATCGAGTCTTAACCGCGGCGACATGCTGATACCATAGAAGGAAACGACAAGTTAAGTCGGAACATGAGGCTTTCTGTGAAGTCTTCGTGGCGGAGCAGACGCGGTGGGGATAAGTAAGGACCTTTAATTGAGTGGAGGGCATTCCACATCTCTCAGGGCAGCCTTCGAGGCTGACTTTGTATCAAGTACGAGATACAGAAGCCCGAACGTCCGAGCCAGTGGGCTAGTAGAATTTCCGTCCCTATCAAATTTGTTCCCTGAGAAATTTAGCCAAGCACCACACTGAGTTAACGGGATGAGCATCGAGGGGTCATTATCTGACTGCTACGTATTAACTGCGTACCTGTCGAGCCTGTGGAAGAAGCCAGTGAAACCGCGAAGCAGTGATCGGAATACCCCCAAGTTATTTTACATTTTACTCAAAAATTTTCGAGTACAAAGCTCCAGAATTTATCCTCTTTATCACGACCTTATAAGCCACAGATAATAGTAATATCAAATAATAATCCATCTGAATAAGGTAGTGGCACCCAGGAAGTGATTCCGCCACCAGTGAGGCAGGAAATCCGGGCAGAATACCCTAATAGTTGGGACAGAATTCTGTCCCCCCTGGGTGAGTGGAAAAGTGATGTCAGGATTCTATAGAGGCAGGATAGTACGGACCGACCCGACTGCCACGCATTTAGCTTTTGGGGGGGGGGAGAAGAAACCGACCATTTCACCCTCCCTGTATTCGCCTCCTATCACGCGAGGAAAGGACAGAAGAAGTTGCGTTACTATGGATCCTTCTCTCCCACGACTGTTTTCCCCCTCACCCCCAAAGATGGACATAAGGTCAAGCACTAATTACAATTACATCTAGAGCAGTTATATCTTTCACAACGTCTACTTTCTTTGGGTTTCGTCCACATCAATCATATTCCCTGGTCTGCCTCACTCTGCTCAATTGTTATCGAATACAGCGTCCTCGCTCTGTGGTGGCGCCGCAGTTGCGTCTTGCAACCCCGACCCTTCTCGGCCGCCACCATCGACTTCTCCAGATCATTTGCAACCAGCCACCATTCAGCCGTGCACAAACTTCCTAGAGATTTTCGATGTCTTCTCCACGGGGCTCGACTTACAACGCTGCGCTATCCGCGTCTCCGAGCAGGCAGGGGAGATTCCGCCGGTTGGGAATGGTTTGGTCACGCATGAGAGTAAGTCAGCATCAGCCTCCGTTGTCTGTGTTCGGTTTAACATTTGATATGGCAGCATAACGATCTCGTCAGAGATCGAGGCCCTAGTGGATCATCGGGAACGCCGATGGCTGTCCCGCGCTCACAATCTCCGAACCTACCTGCCCATCCATCCTCGAGCACAGACCCTGTTGCCAATCTTCCCACGTCCCGCCACAATATGTTGACGGGTTTCCCAACGGTTGTCTCTCATCTAAGAATAGACGACCTGCCGGTGTTGGAGAAGCTATTGAAAAACATTGATGATGGCCATAAAATCGAGCGGAGTCAGAGCATTACCGTCATCTGCCACAATGAGCACAAGCTCATGGGTGCTAGTGCAGTCTTTGACGACGGCGCAGACGATAACACGGCTGAGTTGAGTGTCGTCACAAAACTTGGGATACCCTGGACACGAATCGAAGATTTGCCTGAGAAGCTTCAAAGTCGTATGGGTCTTGTTCAGTACGATGGCACTCGGATTAAGGTCCTTGGCATCGCTGTCGTCCAGTGGTCTCTTCGCAACGTCGAAGGCGTTCTCTTCACAACCCCTGTGAAGGTGGTTGAGGATGGCCATGGCCAGGAAATCTTGATCGGTCGTGCCTTCCGGCGAGATCTGCGCAAGGCAATAGCCGAAGTCAAGTATGAGCATGAGAATGGTCCGAGCTGTTTCAACAGAATCGTTCACCAAGGCCCTATCTCCCGGGTCATGCGTCTTTTCAGTAGACCCATCAGCAAGCTCACAACATCACCACAGCAATGCGGTATTTGAGATTCATCTACTGTGACAAATCTCACGGCTTGCCGACGCATTTCGTCAAACTGTGCAGGCGTGTTCACACCAAGCCCTCCACTTCTGGTCGACTGCTGATAGCACCAAGTGCCTCAACCTGATCAGAGCCATTGCACTCCATCAAAAGGCCACATACCTATTGATGTGTGAGGAGCATTGAACCAGTCGGCAAGGGCAAATTTCCAAGCCCTCGATCTAGCATTCGATGGTAAAAATCGTTGCAGAAACAGGGTTCAATGGGCCCTGATTTTTTGGGTTTTCATGACCGATAAGAGTCTCTGGTGTGGTTTTTTCAGTCTCCCACCAGCTTTGACCTATTTATGACCAGTTCAGCGACCGTTCACGACACATTTCCCACCGGCTCTTCTTTGATTATCATTTGGAGGATAGGCAAACGGAGGAGCAGGAGGAGTAGGAAGAGGAGATTAATACCATGATAGAATTATGGTTATGAATGATGAAAAACATCAGCCGCAAGGCATTATTGTAAGCATAGAATTAGGTTGGAAAATAGCATGGCGACGGATTTTCTTGCTTCTTGGGCATGGCGCCCATATATTCTAGTTGGAGTCATCTGTACGAGGTACAACCTAGGGCAAAGGTGTTGGAGGAGTTTTGGAGAAAGATATTGCGACCCACCTCCGTTGATTAATATATAGACATTTGGGCGACAGGTACCTCGTACCGGGTTACACCCATGCGTCACGCCATCATCATGTAGAGCCTATTAAGAACGGCCGGATTGCTGACGGCCGTTGGTCATTGGCCGACATTTGCCCTCGTCTTGGAGCGCGTGGCACAGATGAGTCCCAGTTGATCTGCACAAGGCCTTCTAGGGTGTGTTTTGAGGCCTGAGGGTCCTCCTGTCGATGCACCAAGATTGTATCAACAAAATAGGTGGGCTCAACTGGCACAGCGACATGTTTGTGCCTGGTGCGGACTGCATCTGTGACTGGTCAGACATGTGCGTGCCTGGTCTCGATCTCGGGAAGAGCGGTCACACAAGGACACGGATATGATTCCTCAATACACACCGCTGAGCGATAACTGTGGAAAGGATATTTTCAAGTCCAGAAAACGGCTTCGACTTGCTTTCGATTTACTGCCTATAATAATAGTCGCCAACTAACTAGGGACTGTCTGGTTGGTGACAAGACAAATTACCACTTTGCACGTACAAGTGTCGCTGCTCTCCCGCTCTCCGAACTCAAACTCAATATTGAGATCTTCCCGGTCCAAGTAAAGTGCCCTTGTCCTTATCCTTGTTGTCCATCAATCGCATCGATCGTGAACCGAGCAAATCTCTGGACCAATTGAACAGGAATTCTGGAATTCACGAAAAAAAAAAGAAAGGCTAAAAGAGTGGGCGTGTGGCAGAGCAGCGAGTTGAGAAGCTCTCCACAGCAATTGAAAGTGATAAAATGGCAAAGAAAAGTCGATCGGTCGAGCTCAGTGCAGATATTCTCGGAACCACGAGACGGCGGCGTTCTTGGCCCTTTCGAGGCCCTTTTTCTGGGCCGGGTCGCTGGTATCGCCTCTCGTAGCGAACCCATGGACGAGGCCGGGAAAGTATTGGTAATCGAAATCGATGTTCAGCGTCGGCAGGACTTTCAGAGAGTACTCCTTGAGTTCGGGGGTGTAAGTCGGATCTGTCTCTGGTGCGATGAGTTGTACCGGCACACTGATGGCGTCGATCTCGGGTTTCTCGAGCAGAGACGGGTGTGCAGTGGACACGCAGTCGACGAGGTTGTTGCCTGTTTCAATCCATACCACGGTTGTTAAGCATGAGTTCAGGTGATCCAACGGTGGAATCACCCCGCCCAGAACGCAAACAAAAGGCTTCCTAGGCGAGGGAAACGATCCAAAACTGACCTTTGGCACCCAGTCGGAAGACGGCCCAACCACCATAGCAGAAGCCAATTGCGCCGACTTTCTTATAGCCCAATTCCTTCTTCAGGGCGGTGGCACAAGCAAAGATCCCCGGCTGTCTGACGTCCTTGCTGTGTCGGCCCAAGAAGGCCATGACATCGAATGGCTCGCTCTTTACGTGTTCACCGGTCCCAAAGAGGCGGTCGGGAGAGACGACCTCGCCGTCGAAGCTGGAGCCAACGATCGAAGAAGGGGTGAGTCGTCAGTAACCTGTTTGACCATTGCGCGAGATGTCCCGATGCTGGATTGACTCTGGGTAACGAACGGGTCCTGTGGTCTTTTTCTTTCGGTCCATCCAGATACGATACTTACAAATCAGGCAAATACACCGTCACATCTGCTTCCTCGGCATAGTGGTCGGCTAGCACTCGAGCATTGGTGAAAGTCCAGCCAAAGATGTCGTGGACGATGAGGACGGCGGCGTCCTTGTTGGTGCCGGTGACATAGGCTTTCTTGCCGGCGAGGGTGGCTTCATGGCCTCTGGGAGTCCCCTCCCATCGGAAGCCAGTCGTGCAGCAGCTGGACATTGTGGGGATTGGGATGTGTGATGATGCGAATCAAGAATCGGAGACGCAGAAAGCCACCTGGTCTGGGATATATAGCGACCGGACAGGAGGGATGGATAAGAGATTTTCTGGATCTGAAAAAGATGGTGAAAGAGGAGGGGCATTTTAGGAGGGGTCTGTGACCGGGTACGAGTCGTGTGGACCATGAACATGGTGCAATGGACTAGCAAGACTAGCTAGGTACGAACCGAGTACATATACTGGGACGAGGGATACTTATCTCCGAAGCACATCGTGCATAACAGGTCGAGAGTCGCAAGGCGACCAATAAGAAAGTGAAGAAACGCCGGAGCCTGATGCCCCATTACCCAAAACAGTCTTTCGAACACGCAGACACTCAGGCTAGCCTCGTTCGCGACCAAATAAGACAGACATACGGGTGCAAATGAACAAGATGCATCTTGGACTCGAACCAAGGTCTTCCGGCTACTGTATCGTGCATTAAAATCGCTAGTGGATTAGGTGCACCGTAGGCAATGGGCAATGGGCAATGGGCAATGGGCACGCCATCGACCCAGTTTGCCAATTCGGAGGCATTTGTGGGTGGGGAGGGAGGGGGATTTTGAAGCCTTTGTTCTTGGCGTCGAAGGGGTAATCATCGCTGTATCGAATTTCACGGCGTCCCCGCCTTGACGAGTAGAAGTGGGGGATTTTGTATCTCCTGCTGACAAACCCCTTCACTACCCTACGTGCCCAGGTGCCTACGAAGAATGTGCATCAGGGCCATCTAAATCTTGAATAATGAAGCCCGCTTCACTTTCGGTCTGGGTCGGTCAGAGCACAAGCACCTCGTCCAAGCATAATTCGTCCGCTCCATCACCAAGCACACCTCGGTTTGTGACGATTACACATTTTTATCCCTAAATTGAGAAAGATGTCGGCGTCGCGGCGGACAAGTGAGCAATATGGCAAGCAAACCTCACATGAAACTACCAATGAAGACGAGATGCTGGTTTTCTAGCTCCTGAAGTAGCCGGGAAATCAAGGCTCAGCCGTGTGTGCTGAGTGGCTGCTTAGGACCGAAGGAACGCATGAATCTCGTATTCACTTGTCCGGGGCATGAGATGAGAGATGAGACCATCTGGGGGAAATCTGGCTTGGGACGCACAGAAGTGTCATCGGGATGCCCCCGAAATTTCACCCTTTTGTCGGGGAGTCTTCGTCGGGGAGTGGGGGGAGCGAAAGGGGGGCCCAATGTGGCAAATGCCTAGGCACGATCGAGTTTGCTCACGGGTGCCCCGGGCTGCCTGGGTGCCTGAGTGCCCTGTTTTCAAGGGGAGAGTTTAACCAGAGGTGCTGAGGTTGCACAGCTGTCCAAGGGTTGTGCCCGACCATCTCCCTCCCACACTCGACTCTTACTGGTACCCCGCAACCCCGAAGCTCAGCCTAGTTGTACTAAGTGGCCTACGAGCCTCTCAGCCAGTGACGAAGCTCGGCCGACTCCAGGTGCGGTTCCGCCTGAGACGCTCATGTCTGGAACAGCGTTAGCCACTTCACAAACTTCGGAACGGATTCATTACCCTTGTTCTGGGTCAAGCACCATCATGGCACACGTTCCTCTCCCCCCGTCTTCATCCTTTCCCAACCTGAACAACCTTCCTTCAGTCGCTATGCGCCAGTGTGCCTAACAACAACCCATCTACTGTCACCATGGCTACGCATACAACCACGCTCAGTCAGGGAGCTGGTGCTGCTGCTCGACCTGCCGACACCCACGAACCCCAAGGCGTCTCATCCCGCCGCTTGAAGAAGCGGGAGATCGACCGACGATGCCAGCGTCAAGCTCGCGAACGCACAAAATCCCGTATCGCCTACCTCGAAGGTCTCGTGGAGGAATTCCGACGCCAGGACTCTAGCGGTCAAGTTGCCACCCTGTTGAAGCAACTGAAAGAGGTGGAATTAGAAAGAGATCTCATGGCTAAGACCCTGAAGGACATACAGAAGGCCATGGACACGCATAAGCTACCCAAGTCGCTCGGCGAAGAGGTGGAAGACAAGAGCACAGTATTCATGGCGACCATGGCCCAGGAAGAGACCAGTGGCGAGCGAAATGCCAGTCTGACGCCTGTCCGAGACGGCCCCCGCCTCCCCTTCCAATGCGAACACACCGACATGCAATCAGGAGCCAGTCCGGCGCAGAATTTCGACCTCGCTACGTTCTCGCCCACACCGAGCTTGCCGCTGCAGTCCCAAGATCTCCTTTTTGCACCAGAAGTAGTGCCCTTGCAGTCTGATGAGAGCCAATCTCCCACGCAGGTTATGGTGCAAGCCAAGGGAGAGAAAGAGCCGAACCCGATGCCATGCAACTGGAGCGACAACTGGGCTGCCCCCCGACGATCCTGCTCATGCCACAGCTGCAACGATCGTCAGCCCGGCCGCCGTTCCGTCTGGCGGGGAAACTACTGGCGCTACGCGAATGAGGTGCTAAGCGAACGCTTCGATTGGAACGAGGAAGTGGCTCCAGAATCTGACGATCTGTGCGACGACGTCCCAATCCGTGCCATAATTGAGGGATGGGATGCCGTTGCGAAGCGCGCTCCCCTGCATCCTTCCTGGAAAATCCTGCGCCGGATCGACCAGACGCTGTTCGCCAAGTGTCCCGACACCGAACGTCTCGCCATCATGCGAGCCATGCATACCCTGCTGCAATTCCATACCGCCTCAACCTTTGATCGTTACGCACGACTCCCGCCATGGTACATGCGTCGCCCGTCTCAGAAGATCGCGCACTCGTACGCCATCGACTACTTTGCATGGCCTGGTGTTCGGGAACGTTTCATCTTCAACGAACACGACTATTGCGGCAACGACTTTTGGCATTTGTTCTGCAAATCCTTTCGCATTCTCTGGCCATACGAATTTCGGGACTGCTACACGCGAGAAATCGAGACTGGACTCTACAAGTTCTCCCCGACGTTTGACCAGCGACTGAAGGACATCAAGTGTTGGACCATGGGGCCAGACATCTTTCAGAGGTTCCCCGAGTTGTATAGTGATATGCCAGCTTTCAATCACATCCCCAAGTCTCCATGTTCATCTCCCAGCGTCATGATGCACACGCAGATGCAGACCCAGGCACAGAATGCGAGGTTGCCGCTACCAGCTTCGTCGCCAAAGGCAGGCCAGACGCAGACACAGACGGGCTACGTTATTGAGGAGGAGGTGGAAGATGTCAAGCCGCCCGCAGCAGTCAGCCAATTTATTCCCGTTGAGAGCCTGCATGCGCACGTCGTTCAGCCACCTCAGCAGCAACATCATCAGGAACAGCATCACCAGGTACCTCAGCAACATATGTCATCGCTCAATCCACATGCGTACAACCCAGCCGACTTCAACCCGATAATGGCGCTTGACGCTTTCGCCTATGGTGCGATCAGTGAAGCAGACTTTGCATCTGCATACCATTCTGAACCTATGGAGGGTTACCCGAACCTGATTTTTTGAGACAGGTGGTCTGTTCTGATGTACCATTTTCTTGATGCCTGATGATGCTACGGCTGGAGACATGACCTGGGATAACATGACACAAAAGTGTAGCACCCGCGAGAGGTGATCCCAGGATCAAAAGCGAAGTGATTCCAGACGGATCAGTCTATTGAGATGGGAGAATCACCTATTCTCCAAGCGCTCGCCGACGATCCAAAATGTGCGACAACGCTGTATGATTTCTGTTCCAGAAGAAATTAGCCAAGATACCCTCCTAACGCTCTCATCTGGCCATCCCTTTGGGAAGCGAGTCTCAGTTGGTGCATGATTTACAAGCTGCGAGGGAGTAAGACGTCGTTTGCTACCCGACATGAATCAATGAGATTGATCCAGATCCAGAGAATAACGTCTTCTTCTCTTTCGATCTGTTCCAGCTCCATCATTGTACACGGCCATCACAGCTCTCATAGGCGCTAATATATGCAGACAACAAACCAACACCGCCAACGCGGCCATCTTCTCCCAATTCGGCATGATCATCCATCACCTCTGCGTCGGCTGCACATGTTACTCCTCAGCGGAGTCAGCGTTATATTGCGTCCGGCGCCCCGAACCATGTGCACGTTCACCTCTCCCAGAGGGTCTGAATTGTCCGGAATACGTCGCCGGGCGTGACGTGATGATTGTGCCATGTTGATTCATTTCCGACGTGTGCTTCTGTCGGCGGGCGAGGACTTGTCGCACGTTGAGGACGAGCCGTCGTTGATACCCCAGGACGGCGAGTGTACCTTTTCGGATCCCATTCGCGAGCAGGGCAAGTTGTCGATGGCGCGGCTGACGACTGCGAGGGAAAGGATTTGTTGAGATGCTGATACCGGGTTATCTCTCTTCGTATCAGGAAGATACCTAGCAACGAGTCCAGTGGAGAGACGTATTCTACGGTCAAAACCGTTTAGGACGAATATGATCACAATGTAAATTACGCAAGGAACGGGGGAGAGGACCATTCATGCTAGAAGTCCATCCACACGGTATAGACCTATTGTACCTCACTATCTACACACAAAGATGGGTAGAAGCTACATGTACACACACAAAAGATGTACCCGGATACGGGTTGACCATGTACCTACAGATCCATACGTCTCCAAGTCAGCTAAGCCAGTCGTGAGCCCCAATCATCCGTCGTCCGTCCCTCGTCTGAGCAAGTCCCAGCTAGTAACTAGTATATACTATAGGCCGAGTGAAGGGTTGATCGAGAGCGAGGGCAAGGATGAGGACAAGGATAAGTGAGAATGAACCACTCGATACCGATATCGAGTTCAATACAGTCAACGACAATACAATGCCCTACTTAACCATGGAGGTCACTGGCCTTCGGATAAGGATGTCCTTCGTGCCGTACCGCATATATGCATGCATACATGGATAAAACTAATACTCCATCTCATTCAGGAGACAAAGTCATTGTCATCTTCATATCTTACAAGGAATACCAGCCACTGAACAAACTACCTTATTCCTCCTCAAGCTTT